TAGTAACCTGAGTGGCCAAAAGTTTGTTCGCTACCGGAATTTTACCCCCGCGGATTTGGAAGTCTTATGAAAATAGACAGAGCGTGATTAATTAGATTAGCAATAAAAACCAGAATTTTACCCCCTGTCCATATAACTAGCGTTTAGACAACTGAAGATGTACGGGCCGGATTTTTACCCCCCGGAATATTACCCCCGGATTTTTACCCCCGGATTTTCACCCCCGGATTTTTACCCCCCGGATTTTTACCACCTGGTTTGATTTTCTTATTTCTGTTTTTAATTAATTGTAAACATTTCATTATTTAGTAGCCTATATTTATTTATTTATTTTGTAAAAAAATGCTCGGAACAATTATCATTCAGTTGATTGTTTATACGTCATATTAACCAACTGTTAGCTTCAAAGATCGAATCCTAATTACAAGAATCTCAAAATTAAAATTAAAAACCTGTTCGGTTAGTTAATGTTACAAATAAATTAATATAGGCTACTTAATAATTAAATTAAATTAAAACAGAATGAACATAATTAATCATTCTCACTAATTTATATATCTGGCCAGGGGGTAAAATTCCGGGGGTAAAATTCCGGGGGTAAAAATCCGGGCCGTACACTCTAGGTTTTTATAATTTGATGTGTTCTGATTAAATTCACAACCGTGAAAATATATGTTTAATTCCACGTTTAATCCATCGAGCTGATGTCGCGAAACTCAAAAGTTCGCGGCCGGAATTTTACCCCCTGGTTTGTGACGTCACGTTTGCCCAGGGGGTAAAATTCCAGGGGGATAAAAATCCGCTACCCCATTCAAATAACATGATACTGTGCAACAAGTTTAACAAGCAAAGGCAAAGAACAATAATTTATCAATCAACAAAGGAAACAATAACAGATCAGTCAACGAGAAATATTAATAACATAACAATAACAATGCAAAAAAATTAACAAGAACAAAAATAGAACAATAAATTAATTTACAATGCCATAACAAACACTAGCAAGATCTAAGCAAACTGTAACCAGTGAGTTTTTCCATTCTAGGCAGAAACAATAAGTAGTAGTAACATAGGACAAGTATAAACATGGGAGAGAAAATGCAAGTTTTGACTAGAAATACTTAAGCTACAAGGAAACAGATATTGCACTAGCAAACAATGTCTTATAATTTATGATCAATTTAACAAAGAAAACCATTGCATCCAGAAAAGAAAACAGAAAAATTAGAGAAAGACATAATTAATTGAACATCAACCCGGGGTGATGATACCTATCACACATCACTGAGGGCCACCGATCATTGAACACCATCACTAACTTGCGCCTTTTGAGCAGATTTCTTTTAAAAATGGATGAGCTGCATAATAAATGTAATCTCTTGACTTGGCCAATGCAATGTATTGTTAATACATAATAAGGCTTAATAAGGAACTTTGACTTTGATTAGGTTTGCTGATACGGGCTAGGTAAAAAGTGTTTTTTTTTACCAAACGTTAATAGAATAGGGGATAAATAAATTTACAAATTCCATCAACATATCCATAAACAAGTAAACTACCTACATGTTTTAGCATTTTCCATCTAAGGGAGAGGAGAGGAATTACAAATATATTATATTTGAAAATTTCAAAACCCCTGAACTAAAAAAATTCTGTTCCACCGACCCAATCTTGCTGGTTCGCAAATTCATTCAAGTTTATCCAGCTCTACACTTTCAAGCCAAATTTTATAAAACTCGGGCCAAAATTACTCAAGTTATTGCGTTCAAGGACACGTATATACAAATTTGAACGAATGGTGTCTTCGACTACTAGGGACATCAAATGAAAAAGTACATCGGCCCAGGAGATACCGTGCAAAATCACCATTAAAACTAAAATAAAACATACCCTTGCCTGCCAGGAGAACGCTAGTTCCACCAATCGCAAAGCATACTAGCTACGTCATACCTACTATCGGATCGCTTTGTAACGACTCAGAGTAATATACAAGAATCAGTCTAATCTGGTTTTTGTGGATGTTGTTTTTGTATCATTTTAAATTTTCCATTGTCTGTATTTTACTAAATAATCAGAAGGATCATGTCAATAATCATCTGGGTTTTGAGATTGCTCTGCTGCTTTGAGATTGGTTCTGAGACTGCATTATCAGAGAGAGGTCCTACATCACCTTTTCATGCTATTAGGTCCTAATTATGTTTTTATCATAAAATACCGTACGTAGTAATTTAGATCATATTACATCAATTCGATTTGTTCTAGTTACCACTTGTCGGTGTATGATTTGAACGTGTTTTTAGGCCTAAGCCAATCTTCGGTCTCATGTAAGAAACACGAATCTCGGCTTGTTAAAGAATCAGTAATTTACAATATTCTTTGGTAAATTTAAAGTCAAATAACGATTTCGGAAGTTTGGGGTTGTGATGCTCCAGCTCTCTGACAATCACTGTGGGAACCAACTTATAGAAGCTTTTTAATAACTAAAACGACTTTAAATCGTAGAAAAATTTCATTATTTTTTGAATTGGTAGCTTTAATTTCTTAAATTTGAAGTCAGATTTGTTTGTTAGCCTTTGTACGATTTAAATTATTGAAGAACTTTCACAAGTACAAAGTTTTTTTGTAAGTACTGAGGGTTTAGATTATGTCGATTGCACAGCGCCATCCCTCGGCGAGTTGACGAACTAAGTCACGGCCGCCTTTAACTCACTAAGTGCACCTCAGTACCACTCAGTACTGCCACTGTCAATGTCATAAACACAAAATTTTATAGACTCTTAGCAGTCTCAGCTCAGCTCAGCCGTGAGCCGTGCTGTTGTACTTGGGTTGCCTGTAAGGTCAAGTTGCTGCTGTTACCATAGGTTCTGGTTTGGCCTTTTGGCGCACACCACTGGGGGAAAGTGTAGGGTAGCCTAAAGGGGCAATTTTAGCTTGCCTATAGTAAGTAGTTAGGGTAATTTTAGCTCGTCTTTAGTAAAATCATTGACTTTATATCTACACAGATATAAAGTCAGTGTAGATTATTAAAGCACAGAAAACGTACTACTATAACCAAAGGTTATAGTAGTACGTTTTCTGTGATTAAAGTCAATGGTAAAAAGGTCCAGAGTCGAGATGGCACTGACTGATGGCAGCACTGCCGTTATACACTAAACTGTCACTGTCAATAACTTGTCATTCCATTGCAGTGTTTCCATTTGAGGGATAAAAATCCCTTTCTAGGGATATTTAGGGCCTTCGAGGGATTGAAAAGGGATTGAGGGATAACTAGGGATAATCAGCGAAATTTAAGGTTTTTTTAGATTTTCTAGGGATTTCAGGCCTTTGACATTATAAAATTGAAATATTGACAAAATAATACATTATGATGGCTGTATTTCAACAACGTTAAGGACCTATTTTGGCTAATTTTGCAAGGTATTGATAACACATTTATTATACTACTTTTTCCCTAGGTTTTGGTAACAAATCGATTGTAGCATAGATAGAAGATACTCCTCAAGCACAGACAATATAATGCCTCAAGGAGTATGTTTTATCATAGATAAATCATACTCCCTTAGTAGATTTGTCATCCTTATGGAACAGCTGAAGCCAGTTTTATTGTTAGTTCTGTACGTCCAACTGTAGAGGTTATGTTTTGTTTACAATTTGTTTCTTGTTATTTCAGTAATTTAAAACCTCATTTAACCAAATAAAACGATTTAATCATAAACAATAACTGGTCTCCTAGTTATATAACCAAATAGTAAAGCACAAATCATGAAAATAATCCTAAAATAATAGAAACAAAATGTTGTCTACCCCAGCGATCGGTGTGGACGTACATGAACTAGACACGAAAAACAAGCTTCAATATTTACAATGAGATGAGGAGTCTACTTGTGTTGCTTAGTCTATGGTTTTATCTATGGTTGACGGTTGTAGGTAGTGGTAGTGACGTAGTGTTTCAAAGTCGGAACACACAAGGGACGAGAAACAGCCAACACTGCACGAAACAAGCAAAGGGCTGGAGTCGATCGGTGGAATGGAATGGCGGATCTAGATTACTGTTGTAATTTGTTTATTTCTTAGTAGCCCTGTGTCAATGTCGAATGTTTGTTTTCGTTCTGATTTTGTTTGCCGGTGATTTCTGTAATGTTTTTTGGTTAGTAAGTAACTTGGTTAAACCTTTTCACCAAGGCATGGTGGCGATGTTTGAAAAAGACAATTAAGTTTGAAATTTGGACACTTGAGTAATATTTTTGAAACAATTTTAAATACTTATAAATAAAAATTATTAGTTTATAAAATTTTAAAAATAACTATTTGTTTCATTTTTTAATTAATCTTGTTTTGTACAACATAGACAGTTTTTAATCACGGCTACCTTTAATTTCAGGCCGGAGGCCGCGGCCTTCGAAGTGGCAACGTTTCAAGTACCGGTATAGTGTTTTAAAAGGTGTTTGATTGGAGAGCGCTATAAGCTAATGATATTTATGTATTTTTTTAAGAATACGAAAGCTTGGTTACTGGGCTATGAAAATGTTGACTCCACATTGAATGTACAGAAATAGATTTTCAATTTATATTGCTTTGATTTTCGATTCTATTATGTTTTATTTCCATGTTAACTTATAATAGGACGTCTTGCTTGCGCTAAACAATACTATGGTACTTGCAACGTTGCCACATCTACCAGGACGCGGCCTGCCTGGAGTTAAAGATGGCCGTGGTTTTAATGGTACAAAAATGTTTTTTTATATAGTATTACTTTATAAATAATATGGGATATTGAAGAATACTATCACCAGTTACCATAATTTAGGTGGCTAATCATGATATCCATTGGCATTGCTGCAAAAATAATAAGTAGTTATCTAGATTTGACGAAGAGGGATAATTGTAGGGATTATTAGAACACGGACTAGGGATAACTAGGGATTTTTTGACGTTGGCCCAGGGATATTTTTTTCTTGCGGATGGAAACACTGTTCCATTGTCATTGATTAGTGTAATTCAAAAAAAGAAAATAAAGATAAAGAACCCTCATTTGTCATTAGTCTCATTTTGAATATTATCAATTATCATTGAGATTGATATTATCTTGTTAATCTGTTGTTATTGTTCCAGTAGGTCTACGAATATTATTCTTGTAGTTAATCACAAAGTTTTGTTTACCTCCAAGTTAATCATCCTTAATTGCATAAGTTTACTTGCTTAACTTAATTGTGAGTAACGCAGCTTAAGTTATATAACTTAGTATTACTGTGTAAAGTATAAATTATAGCCTAGTGTGAATTTTTCATGCATGAATATTTAGGCCTACATCATGGGCATTAGCCTATATTTAGCTGACAACCCAATACTAAATTAGCCTAGGCCTAGTTTGTTTACACATACCGTACTTAACTACCCTATTAACCGTATTAGAATAGGCCTACAAATTACAGCAACTTAAACATCCTCAATAGAAAGGCCCCTAATTGTATGGTACACTGCCAGTGTACGACTAGATTTGTTATTTTATTTCCAACGGACATCTCCATTTTATTTTATTTAGGTTCTGAAGGTAGAATTAGCCTTCTTCCAAGATCCATTAAACTTAATTTAAATTCAACATCATCTTAAAGTCGATTCACACACATCAGTCCAGTCAGAGTTCCGTGACCGACCAGTCACAGTTCAGTTTCAGTTGCATCCGCAATTTCTCAGTCAAGTGTCAGTCATTTGGTTTCAGTCAGACTTAAAGCAGACCTTAAAGCACTTCGTCCGAAAATCGAATTATTGCGCACCCCAGACAATTGTTTTCTTGTTGACAAGTTAAGGCGTCCAATTAATGCCTGTAGCTTCCCAATAAGTTCATCCTCGGGAAGATATCTTCCTCTAGCCAAATTACCAAGAGTTATTATTCTAGCATCAGAGAGCTCGTCAAAATCAAGGAGCAGGTGATCGGCTGTCTTTTCTGACCTATCACAGTGCCTACAGACCGGTTCACTATCAAATAAGTCCATCCGTTGTAAATGTTTCCTGAATCGCCCGTGACCAGTGATAGCCAAGCAACCTTAAAAGCACTAAATTCTTACGAATTCAACAGCTAGGCTCGTGTGGGACTGCCTTGCTTCTGTGTCTGAGTTGGGTAGGAGAAATGATCTTACGCTCTGCTGGGTGCCTGTACACTCAGGCATAAAAGGAAATGAAGCTGCAGACAGATTGGCAATAAACACTGCCTCTGCGACAACTATAATAAGCCCACAACCCTTCTGTGGCATTTCACGAAACAGCACATGTTCTTCGATTGCATCATGGGCCAAAGAAAAGCACCGCAAACGCTGGGTTGATACTCCCCTTCTTAGGGTCAGCAAGCTTACTCTGTTTAGGCCTTCCAAAAAGGTTGCCTCTGTCCTCTTGAGACTAGACAGACGAAGAATCAAACTAAAAACTCAATATTCTAAGTATCAAATTTTTATCGTCCATCTTGTTAATTGTTAGAATCAGTACAAAATGTGTAAAATATAAACACAATCATACAAATAACAACAACAAAAAACTGTTTTCTAACCCTAAACACATACGTCAGTCATCTGAACAATCCCAAAATATCGGTGAGAAAAAATCTGAAATTAACTGACGGACACAAACAAGGGACTGACAGAATTACATCGGAAGAGTGTAGATAGCGCAATAGAAAATGCATTATATGATTATTTTTTGACTGTGATATGCCTGATGTGAAACTGTAAGTTACTGTGTGTATGACCATGACAAGCTGGAACTAATCAACCTTTAACCATGTCATAAGGTTGGTCATTTCATTTCATCCAGTAATTTAATTTCATTCCATAGTGATTAATGAATTCCAGACTAGGTAGGCCTACTAAAAAGTTAAATCAATTTACCACTGTCTCAGTTTTCCTCAATCAAATCTCCCAGATAAACATTATATCTTTGGATAAATATTTATCTGTTATAATTTTTCATCAACGCCTACTAAAAAGTTAAATCAATTTACCACTGTCTCAGTTTTCCTTAATCAAATCTCCCAGATAAACATTATATCTTTGGATAAATATTTATCTGTTATCATTTTTCATCAACAAAAACATGTAAGGTAACATAGGTAGTTAAATGCACTTAAAAACATGCAAATTGTCCTGTTGTGAGCCTACCTTTATTTTCAACCCTCTACTTTAGACCAAGTATTTGAAACATACGGTGCCCAGGCAATCACAGCTGGCCATGTGTATTGAGTAAAGAAACACTGACACTAAGACGAGAACACTAGTATTATCCTCTGCTAACTCAGGTAAAAATCTCATACTTCCTCTTAAGTGATTAAATGAATTTTTTTATTTAGGGACCTAATAGGACGCAAAAAAACCTTAAAAACGAGCAGGGTAGGACTACTTTTCTATTTCAAGGCCTAAGTGAATTTGCTAAGCTTAATAGGTTTACATTAGGAAGTTTTTTTAATCAACCATTTTTCAGGACTGTTTGAATACTGAAATGGGATACAACTCCAAATCAGAACTCCGAGGCTCTTGGATGAGAGGGAGCATCGGTATTATCATCCTTATTTTCAGTATTGGAATTCTGGTAAAAAATGAAGTAAGTAAGAAGTTGTACGCATGTCAGCCTTAGCTCATTCAGAGTTGTTTTAAGTCATTAGAATAGAAATCTCCATACCCACTTGCTCCATAGAAGAAAACCAAGCGACAGTGCGACATTGTCGCAGAACTAGGAAGCGGCCTGCAGAAAGATCAGACTAGTGTAAACAAACTGTGGCGCACACACAGTTACAGGAGACAGTGATAAAATATCCATGACCGCAAAAGAAGTTGGCGAGTTTTCTGCAGCCACAGGAGACAGTCGAGATTTAATTGCTTTCACGAGATATCGTAAAATATGTCTACCCCGCTGACTCAACCTCAGCTTGTCCGCCTCTTTGCTTAATTCGACGGTGCCATCGCCTAGCAGTGGCGGTGATTGGGCTTGAGAGGTGGGGGGGGGGGGGTTTGGGGGTGAAATATAAATATATTGTTGATACTACGTTCTTTAAACATTATATTCTTTATTCTATTTTACTAACCAAGGCTATGTCCTTGTGTATACTTTTCACTTGATAATGAAAGTTAATTATTGGTCACATGTTATTGTTGTACTAGTAAGTCCTACCTACCAACCTACGCTTTTTAAAATTTTTAGTTCATATGTTTAATCTTCAATAAAACTTAGTAAGTCTTGAGTTTGTACATAAATAACTCTTAACCTACCTCAGTTTTTGAGACATCACTAAGTAGTAGCATTGAGTATACACTAATAATCAACGGTAGTAGTGGCCTGTATGAAACTATCTTTAGGCTATAGGCTAGTGAACACCCTCGAGCACGGACTTGCAGTCCATTCGGGGGAATACTATTCTTACCCTAATAATGTATTCCTGGATTTATAAAGGTGAATAAAGTGATTTTTTGGTTTGATTTGATTTGATTTTGAAAATCCCTAGATATGGTTCGGAAACAAAAAATAAACATGATCTTAAATAGTGTAGACCTACTTCGGAAAATTAAAGTAGACTGAAAGCCTGATTGCCACAAATGTAGTTTATTATAGACAAAGTAAATAAAACTGTTACAAAATATAAACAGTGAAACTTTGTGGTAATATTGGCATGACATTAATGGACCTATAGTGCTTTGTTTTCCAGCGACATTCCTAACCTACTATATAAAAGTGTTAAATGTCTAGGTTTATGCCTAGCAAATACTTCAACACATTCTTCAAGTTCTATGCTGATAGAGGTATCTTTTTCTATAGCCAGGATGGCTAAACTTTATAAACGGTTTTGGAGCATTGAGTTTCTTAAATAGTTTTTGATCCGTTTTAAGACACTGAAAGACCGTTCAGCGGTTGTAGTAGACACTAGGACAGTCAAAAACAATTGCAGAAGCTTAAAGAGATTAGAAAAAATGAGCTGGTTGTGAACGTTTACAGACATATATTGCCGTACGAAATTTGACACAAGCTCATTAGGTTACGTAGTTGGTTTGAGTTAGGGGTTATTGTGGAAAACACATCAATTTTAGAGGCTTAAGTGTCAGTTTCTAAACCTAAACATGTTAAAAATATTCTGTAATACTATACTAGACGTTATTTATTGTTAATTATGTTAGGTATTTGTATGAGGGTAGCTAGTCAATTTAACTACTACACAACTGACTAGTTTAAAAAAAGAGGCCTATATGTTATAATTTGATAAATATTCCCTAGGAGAGTGGGGTGGCGACTGCCCCCTTGCCCCCCCCCCCTCTGTCGCCTAGTGACAATTTTATTGCAGTATTATAGTGATCGTTTCCCTTGGTCATGTGGACATCATCACCGTCTCCTGAAATTGTGGCAAAATTTGTATTTGTAGGAAACATCATCGTTGTTTTCCTCCATTGCAGCAACCCACTGAATACGTTCAGCAGTAGGCTACAGTAACATCACCGTTATCGAGTTAAACAAGTATTTAAAATAATATACAATAAAAATAATATCAAATAATTAGATAATTCAATTTAGTAATGATATTTTTGATCATAGCTTACATTGGACAGCGCAGTCGGAGGCCAGACCGTCCCAATTCCAATACATGTAGTATTATGGCAGAACAATCGAACAACGCTGAGGGTGCCATGTCGTAATTTGCAATGCTTTAGTATAGAAATTCTGGGGTAGAGTCCATAAAGTTGCATGCTAACTCTAATCAGGGCAGTCACCACAATCTGGGTAGTTTGCTTCACACGCTCTTGTTATGAAAGTGGTCATAGTCATATAATCTTTATTCAAGAGTACAACATATTGCACCAGAATGGCGTTATACAATTAAATTATATTGTTAAAACTAACCATATATAAAAAGGCTAAATAAAAATACAAAAACTTATAACTTAGGTACAAATCTACAACACAGTCAACCAACAAATCCATCAAGGGAATAAAAGGGCTTGGATAACATAAAATTTTTTAGTTGTTTTTTAAATTTATTTTTTTCTGTTATTTGTAAAATATTATTAGGTAGAAGGTTATAAAACTTAATCCCAGCATATAAAGGTTTTTTTTTTCAAAGAATTTTAATTTTTGTTTAGAAATACTGATTTTATGTCTGTGCCTTGTCCCATAGATGTGGCATGAATCCAAGGTCTCGGATTTTGGTAAATTATTCTTTACAAACAAGATCAAATCAAAGATATATTGGGCAAAAACAGTAAGAATACCAAGTTTTGAAAATTGTTCTTTAAGTGAATTTGTCCAATCTTGAATGTTTAACATGATGCGAAGTGCTTCTTTTTTAAATTATATTTGTTCCAAATTTTCTTGAGCGCTTGCCCCATATAAAATTATGCCAAAGGAGATGTAGGAGTGAATAAAAGTAAAGTAAATCATTTTTAATGTTTCCAAAGGACATAATTTAGACATTTTTCTCAGAGCAAAAATCCCTAAAATTTTTTCCTGATGTAGAGGTTTGTTTTGGACAGGACGTCATAGGAGTTTGGAGATCTGGAGAGCTAAATTCAGTTGTTTTAGTAGTTTTTATGTTGGTTTCCTCTAAGCGAGTAATAATATATGTATCTCTTTGCTTATATGCTCCTTTTCTATGAACATGCTGACCATGGCGGGTATGATGGTATCTCTGCAGCAAGTATAGGTCCAGGAGATGCACATGAGTTAAGGTGTAACATTCCTGCCTGATTAGCGTGTTTACTTTAACGAGATTATTTTCAGGACTATTTTCGTTTAGGTCATATCTATATGGTATTGTAGAAATAATAGGTTTGTGTGGTCAAAATAGAAACAATCCTTTTTTAACTGGGTTTCAAAGTTTTTGAGAAGCTGTTCTCCTTGTGAGAGTGAGTTTGGAGTTATGTTGTTTGTGCCTCCAATTAAGACAATATAGTCTTTTTTGGTATGAAATTTAAAACTGGGAGAACATAATATGGAATTCATTATAGGTAGTAGTGAAGCTCCTGGTGAGTATAGATGTTGGCACACCTGTTTTCCATAATCCAAACAGTAAAATGTCTAAATTCTATCCAGAAAACTACTGAACTAACCTTAAAATGTTGTTTTGGTGTTGTTTATTGAATAGTGATGTAGGCCTACTGTTTGTGCAAATGCCTACTAATAATTGTAAGCTGTTATGGAATGGATTTCACATCTAGTTCAGTTAAAGGTTGGCCCTACAGTTCTGGTTAATAATATTATTACAATTACAAATTTCTTTACGTTACCGGTATATGTTTAAATGCAAATTATCTTCATCATATGTTTTGGCTGTTTGGCTTTCTAGTCCTTATTACCTTGGACATTTTAAAGATTATTGTGTAACTATTTTGTTAGTGTTTTTTCAGTACACAGACACATCTGCAAATGTTTAGATTAAATACAATAACAGCATTGAAAACAATTACCAGTAAGTTTAAATTAATAAATGTATGTGTGTGTGTACATTAAAAATTAAAGCTATAAAATGTTTATCAATTCTTTGACAAAAGTGAATGATGGTAGGCTTTTGTTTCAATGTAAAAAAAATACAGAGCCCTCCCACCACCAATGATCACCAGCCGCTACTGGAGTAAACAAACACTAGGATTTATTAATTCATCCAGTATAGCCAAAAATTACGTAACTGAAAACCTTAAATGTGTTACTTCGTAGTTTCAAGTAATACAACCAAACCTAATTGATATTTATTTCATCTTCTACAAACATTTTATTTTTAGACATTGCTAGAGTATTTCAGTTTATAGACTTCATAACTAGACCTTTTTTTTAAAACCTTTGTTATTTACAGATATCCTCTGTTATGTGACAAGAAACGTTTGAAAACATAACAAGATTGATTGTAGATGTTGGCTTCAACAGATTACCTGATTCTGGTAATAATGGAAAGTTGATTTACTTGAAAGGTCGCATTGAAGTCAATGAACCTCTCACAGAACCCGAGTATGGAGTCACTATCGCTGCCGTCAAACTCAAAAGACGAGTTCAGATGTTCCAGTGGGTTGAAGTGCAGGAAGAAAAATCTCAGTGGTAAGTGTGCTTGCTTTCTTTGATACCGTTATTCATCTTCAAACATCAACTATGGATATTGAATCAAACATCTCAAGAAGACTCATGTTTCCTCTCCACGTAAATGGTATTTCTTCTGGCTGTCTTTCCGGAGTCGTAACAGCTTCCTGCAAGATCCAACTTTGAACATTTTAAAACATGCTAAACTTGAAATAGAAAGGGGCTGATTCTGATTCTTGATTCATCATAACTTTTTGTATCAGTAGTATCAAGGAATCATTGCTGGTGCATATTATATGCCAGCAGAGGATCTATCATAGGTGATTGACCTTCGTTATTTTGCAGGTGGGGCTATGATACAGACTCTTACAACCCCATAGTTTACACTACTGCTTGGCGCGATCGATTAGTTGACAGCACATTATTCGCTAAACCTTTTGGTCATGCAAATCCTAAGTAAGTATTTAATGTATAAAGACGGACCTCATTTATTAGTATCTAAATCGTAGTATAGACAATCAATGAATAGGGACATGAGTAGCAGTGTATGTACTCTTTAGTAACAGGAGTGGGTTTTTTACAAGTTATCAAAAGTGAACCCCAAATTAACTAAGGGATTTCTCCCTAACATAGGTTATGAAGGAGTAGGCCTAAAGGAAAGCCATACATAGGCTAGTTGTGTATTATTTATACATTGTATAGCAGTGGACATATACATTTTGAATCAAATTAAAATGAGCAGAAAAGGACAGAGGTGCGGCAGAACAGACTAAGCAGTTTTACTCATGCAGTTCCTATACTAAAGCTGTGAATGGGTTAGGCGGACACTGTTGTCCGGTTCTCATCAGCCACTCTTACCGTTCAAATAAATAGTATTTATTTAGTATTTATTAACTATTTATTTGATTATATAAGCAATCCAGAGGCTGAAATGATAGAGACTCTTACCGTTTCTGTCACTTTTTTTTTTAAAGAGGTTGGCGGCCTCTTTTAACCTTGCATTTGCCCGTCTACATAGACTAAGCGCCCGTGCGTGGATCGTTTACAGCAAAGCAAGGGGTGAGCCGGTACAGTACAAAGGTGAACTGTACTGATAAAATGTTATCGGCAGTGACCAGGATCCGAACCCACGACATCGCTGCCTTGGGCCCGAAGTCCGCGACGCTACAGACTGAGCCACCGACTCACCAAAATCATGGTACAACTCGGTATACAATCATGGCGACTCGGATTTTCCGTTAACTTTTGTATTCCAAAAGGCTTCCTCCATAATTCCCTGACTATGTTATCTGCTAAATTGTCCTTTGCTTCAACCACACAGTAAGCAACATTCTTGAGAAGGAATGCTGCATAGTTAAAACTGTTCATGTAAACATTAGTACTGTAGGCATACTGTATTACATACAGTATATTCTTTCATTTAGTAATACATATACCTGCTGTGAATAGACAATTTTCTCAAGATAAAATGACAAATAGAACTCAAAACATGATATGTATGCACACACTCAACCAAACTCTTAAAATTATCTTACTGTAGTGTTTGATGACACAAATAAATCAGATTGAAATTAAGTATCTTTGTATTGAAAGGAAGGATGACGGGCCCTTCAAATGGCTTAATACCTTAACAATGGACTTAATAACATTGCACGGAAATTATAACAAGGAATCTAGCATAGAATAAACAGTTGGATAATTGATGCTTTACTGTACCAACAACAGGATATTTTTAGGATGGCAGGTTTTCCGTACCTGAATGGCGAAGAGTCCAATATAGCACAAGACACACAAAACAGACTCTACATACAAAATTAGAATATTACACCATCACTGACAACATTTTGAATCAAGGAACCCTCCCTCTGATTCAAACCTTCCTCAGTTGAAAATGTTATCAGTGACCATTTTCTATAACAATGTGCAATGTGTTATCACTAACAAGTGTGTTGTGAAATATTCTAATTCCATGTTCGATAGAATTAAAAATGAGAAATAATGCCAATCTAATTTAGAATTTTATGTTTGAAGAACGTTCCCATTGGAGAGTAGTGTGAGTGTGAGCGAGATAGTTCATGTGGGAGGCTACACACTCAGCGACGAGCTTAAAGACCACTTTACTACCTACACACTTCTCACAAGTGATCAAAGACCTGAGCGAAGAGATATCAAAATGCACTCAGGTCTCTACTATCATTCTTTTGATGTGTGGAACCCAGAGGTCGGAGACACGAGGGTTCAGCTATCATATACGGGAGCATCTGACAGTATGGTGAGTACAGAGTGTGCTAAGGTGTTGTCCCTCAATAAACTTGTAAAGCTTTGTTCATTTTTATTTAGCCCGCTTAAATGTTTTTCTATTTCATCTTCAAAAGTCGTTCCGTGTCTTTGACTGAGTTTAGTATGAGATGTGTACAGTACACTCTCAATTATCCGAGCCTCTGGGTTATCCGAGGTCTTTTACCAGGAATAAGCTATTACCATGGTAAGACCTGGTCCCGGGACTGATTTACTTTTTCGTTTTGATGTCCCCAGAGACCAAAAACACCATCCGTTCAAATTCATATCCATACAGGGTGTCACAAAAAAGTGTGATGGGCTATACAGGACTTAATTCTACATGCAAAAATAAGTCAAAAATGAGGAATAAATTTTTTTGGATTTCGGCTTAGTTTAGCCGTAATCCGCCATTTTGTTTTTTGGGGAAAATATTTATTATTTCAAAATCCCTTTGAGATATTTTTACGAAACTTGGCAAAATTGTTTACACTATAGTAAGTAACATTTATAAAAAAAATTATTATTTTAACTTTCCAAATTTAAAAATGGCGGCCGTTTGAATTTTTTAATGCCAAATTTCATGAAAACTGGTACCTAAATCAAAATTTTGTAAGACACAAAAGTTTTAGTATGTATTATGACAAATCCAACAAAACAAAAATGAATAAAATCGGTTCATAAATAAAGAAGCTGTGTTTATTTTAGTAATTTAGACTGAAATTACTTAATACGTTACATAAATTATTACATTACATTTAATACATTTTAATATTAATAATTTCAGTCTAAATTACTAAAATAAACACAGCTTCTTTATTTATGAACCGATTTTATTCATTTTTGTTTTGTTGGATTTGTCATAATAAATACTAAAACTTTTGTGTCTTAGAAAATTTTGATTTAGGTACCGGTTTTCATGAAATTTGGCATTAAAAAATTCAAACGGCCGCCATTTTTAAATTTGGAAAGTTAAAATAATATTTTTTTTTTATAAATGTTACTTACTATAGTGTAAACAATTTTGCCAAGTTTCGTAAAAATATCTCAAAGGGATTTTGAAATAATAAATATTTTCCCCAAAAAACAAAATGGCGGATTACGGCAAAACTAAGCCGAAATCCAAAAAATTTTATTCTTCATTTTTGACTTATTTTTGCATGTAGAATTAGGTCCTGTATAGCCCATGACACTTTTTTTGTGACACCCTGTATATGTGTGTGTGTGATAACTCTACCAAAAATTATCTGATTTTTATGAAATTTCTTACAAACGTGTAAACCTACGTTTATTGAAACGAGTTCGCAAACCAGAATGATCGAACCATGGGAATAGGGTTTTACAAGGGGTTTTATGGGGTAAAAATAGGTTTTTCTCATTTTCGTCCCTCAAAACATAAAATTTCCCAATTTTTTCTCTTGACTATTTTGAAGAGCTTTAAAAAACAAATAATTTAGTATATTGAACTGTTTTTGTATGGTTATTAGTTACAGTGAAAATTAAAAAAATTGTAAATTTAAAATTGTTATGTTATTCTTATGGTGAATAAGTAAACTGTTGTAGTTTGCTTGTTTATGGATATATTTTTATCAAACTTGGTAAATATATTTATTCTATACTCAGCTATTAATTTTTTACTAAAAAATACCCTTGATACCCTCCCTTTAGCAGCAAACCTAAGTATTCGTTAAACCTAATGTTATTGAAATAGAGTAAATTAAAAATCAAATCAGGCAAATGGGAATTCGCTTAGTCTGCAGGTTTGCTGCGGCAAAGGTATTTTTATTTCTGGTTGGAGAACAATAATTAGGTTTTTATGAATATTTCTGTTTAAAGTAAAGTAAAAATATCATGTAATTTGTGATTTCTTAAAATAATACTGAGAATTATTTTAACTTTTAACGTAGAAATTATATCCGATAATGTGGGAGCGCTCATTTAAAAACTGTAGGGGTCCATCTTATTGTGTTTTTATTTAATCCTGTAGAGTATTGGCTTGGTATCATTAATACTGTATTATATAAAGTTTTCCAAGACAATTTAAGAAGTATTAAGTATGTTTGAGTTATTGTTTTCCTTAATAACATTGTCTTATTTAAATACATTTTCCATTAAAATATCCAATTAAAATAACCAATTATTGATAAATTTGTATTCACTATGCATTGTTATTAAAACATATACTTTAAAAGTCTTTTACTTCCTAATGTGGTACCGTAACCTCTAAGATAAAAATCGAAGACACCTCTGTTTTACCCGAGATTCTTGGTAACCGAGGTAGTCTCGGTCCCAACAACCTCGGTTAATCGGGATTGTGCTGTACTGAAGTAGTTTTTAAGTTTTCTAAGTAGTCTTTACATTTTGTTGCCTGTCCATCCAGTTTTTCTGGTTTGATGTAAAATAAACCTAGTTTACCAGCACTAATCGGCATTGCATCCCACATGATACTACACTAGTGAAAGTAGTAATGTACAGTGTGTGCTAAATGTTCTCATACCTAATTTATTTTCAAGATCACAATTCTGGCTGAACAAGATGGCTCCACTCTACGGCCCTTCGTTGCAGCCGGCGAAGATCTGACAGTAGTTGTGGAAGGTGAACTTCCTCTCTCGGATATCCTGGCCATCAAGTTTCCATCATCAGGTGTTTGGTTGATCCGAATCTCAGTATATTTTGGCATATATTGCGGCTACTCTACTCTCAGCTTCATCGTAGGTAGGTCCAAACTTTATCTTAATTCTTCCAGATTACCCTCCCATCCAGAATAATTAAAATCATACTTTACTGTACAAATATAATCTGGAAAGAAATTACTGAGAAAACATTTTTTGTGCAGCACATTAATAAATAGAATTAAAATTTAAGAAGGAAGTTCAATGGGTAGAAATTGTATAGAAAAAAGGCTTTGCTTGAATTCAATTTTATTCAAACAATCCAGAAAAGTCATTATTTAAAAATTGTGTTGTGGAGTAAAATGCTCTATTGATTAGCAACCATGTCAAGCGAGATTTCAAGCATTTCATACGTAACTCGCGGACATTAACAGCCAATTTGTTATAAAACTTTATCTGCTGATAATAATTTAATATATCCAGCTGGAGAAGCATTTTACTCTTTTAAGAACCTCTGGTATGATGACTATGTATAATGTCTCAAGTAAAACAATTATTATTTATGTTTTGTTGTATAAAAATGTCTTACCAAATTAATATAGAGGGAAATGTTAAAAATTTTCTCTACAAAAAGGTTTGCGATTGCCACAGCCAGGACTATCAAAATCAAAATTGATTTTAGTGAATTTCCCATATAGGGAATAAGCTATTACCGTAGTACTCATGGTAAGACCTGGACCCGGGACCAATTGAATTTTTCATTTTGAGGTCCCTAGAGGCCATAAACACCATCCATTCAAATTCATATATATATATATTTATATATGTGTCCGTTAGCGCAATAACTCAAGCAAAAATGATCCGATTTTGATGAAATTTGGTACAAATGTGTAAACCTACGTTTATTCAAACGAGTTCGCAATTCAGATAATCGAACCATGGGAACAGGGGTTTATGGGGGGTTTATAGGGTAAAAATGGGGTTTTCCCATTTTTGACCCTAAAAAAAAAATTTGCAATTTCTGTTTAAACCGTTTTGTAGAGCTTAATAAAAGAAATAATTTAGTATATTGAAGCGCTGTTGTATGCCTAACGGTCACGTAGAAAATTCAAAAATAGTGTAATTTAAAATTCCCATGTTATTCTTGGAGAAAATGAAAATTTGTGTAGTTTACTTGTTTAAGATATATTGATAAAATTTGGCAAATTTATTTATTTCATCCTATACTATTGACGTATGGTCAAAAAACACTTTTTATCTTCCCTGTAGCAGCAAACCTAAGCACTTGTTAAATCTAATGTTATTTAAATAGGGAACAAATATGTCTTATTTATGGAAATGTCTTAGTAAAAATATAATCAGACAAGTTAAAATTCGCTTAGTCAGCAGGTTTGCTGCGGCGGAGGTATTTAGAGCTTTTTGTTGCTACATGTACTAACTCACTTGGATCTACGTAAATTGTTCCATAAGGTCAAGAAAGGATACTATGTATCACTTGTTTTACATTAGATTTTGACATAGTGGTTTGGTATTTTGCAGGTAGACAGAGCCGGCTATTGCAAGCGTTCGTTCACAACAACAAGGCGTTCCTTTGCCAGATTCTTTCTGCAGCCACCTTCTTCACTGTCATGGCGTTTGCCTGGCTGCCATTCAGACCAGTTCTTGGATCAGTCAATCTACTTATAGCAGCAATCTTGGTGCTATATTTGGTTATCAAAGGTTATTCTCTGTACTACTACTTCAACCGTTGACTTCATATCCCCTTTAGGTGAGATTTAATATATATCATGTAATATGTAGTAGTTTACTTAACTAATTGAACTGAGAGACAGTAAACCATACTGAGTGTACAAACACTACTTTAGTGCCAATGATATCCTTTGTATTATAAATTTAGTCTCTCTGACACTTCTTTTTAACTCATTCTCTGTCTATAATCTACATCTAATAGTTTGGTACTACTTTGTTAATGGTGTAGTAGTGCTGATTGCTTGCCGTGACGTTTTTTTTTTTTTTTCATTTTTGGTTTTAATTTAACCAGCCACTAAATTAAATTTTACTTTTTAACACATTCACTGCTAATGATATGTAATACTTTTATAAATGGCTAAAAAACATAAACATTAACATGATCATGTTAATTGAGTGACAATATATCTTTAATTAAATAAATTTTATACTATAAATTGTGGATTAAAATATATTATGTAATTATATACATCATGTATTATATATCTGCTAATATACTTATGACGCACAAGTGCGTCATTAGCAGTGAACGTGTTAAAATATACAATGGTAAAATTATTAATGGTTTAATAATAATGGTCTCATAAATATATTTTTAATTTGAATTTAATCTTCAATTTAAATCCTTATACGGGTAGGTAGGGTAATTAGTAATATATCATTTATTTTTCTTGAAATAACATATTTTTTCAAATTTTATATTTACAGGTGGTCTGAAAAATACCAAATGATCTGTGCCCATTATACCTGACAAAGACAAACGTCAAGATAAAGGAATGAAGGTTTTGCATCCATGTTACATCCATATGTAATATAATATATTACCTATGGAGCAGGAAGAGGACATGGTCTACAAGTTGTGCCATCTAAATTTGAAAGACGTACTGTGGACAAGACTGAATGTTGAAAACATGTTTTGGGACCGAGTTGACAAATTTGTAACTGACCACCCTAAATGGAACAACAACTACAGTGTACATAACTGTGTGTACATGTAACATATTGCCTATGTGTAACATTGTGTGATGTAAAACTTCATAAAATTTTATACATTGATTAGGTTTAGAAATAAAAGCTGTCATAGACTGAAATCTGCTTACATTCTATTATTGCCTTTTTATTTGGTATCACTGAGATATGCACAAATGATTAACTTTGATTATGATTGTTGTTTCTTCAGTTGCAGAGTTGCATGACTTGTTAACCACCTGTGAAAATGTTGGTTAGTAAATAAAGCAATTAAGTCATTGTTCATAATTTTGACTATTTTATTAATTCTTGATTAAAGTAGGCCTACTCATAATTAAATCACAATATAAAATAGGCCCATCTTATTACTTTTTCATAATGATACAGGGAACTTGTTAAATCAGTCATAAATTATTTTAGTTTTAGCAGAACAATACATATGTTTATTTTATTTCATCTAAAATGTGAAATGTATTAATAACAGGCCCTTTTTTATTTAATTTAGATGAAAAAAAACTAAATTTCGTTGTAACTGCTCGCCATATTAATTTTGTAAATATACATGAAGAAAATAATAGGAATGAGTGGAAAATCAAGTAAAGTTAAGTGGTGCAGCATTTCGCAAACTGTCAAAGGAAAATCGTTTCTTAATAAACAACATTAAATATAGTTCTGTATTATTAATATCATTATTATATGACACATTATTATAAGAACCCCTTACTATTGATTGGTTAAGTTAAGCTGAAATAAACAAAACAGAATACAGTAATAGTAATACAAACAAATAATCACACCTGATTTTAATAAGGTAATAAAATTGAAAGAATAACATACAAATACAGTAAGTACAGCTGAGGTATTTTTAACATTAGGTATATGGATAGTTCCCTTTAGAAAGGAATTACAACCTTAAAGGGCAATTTATGAAATAATGGATAGTTTTGAGCAAGGTTTTAAGTACAGTATATGGTTTATGGGGGTGTGACTTGTAGTTTTCTCAAAAGTTCATGGATACTTTGGGATTTATGTATTGATGTACTCATAGTGTAACTACTATGTCTTTCTTAGAAAAATGCATTAATAAGCGTGCCAACAACGGGAAATTTAATATCGCTTTTACGTTGAAACCTTTCCTTTTTCCCGAAACACGAAGGGGCGGTTGGCCGAACAGGCCTAGGGGCGGGGCTGTAGGTAAGCCCGCCACTGTTTACTGGCATCATTTGTGAACAGAGTGACACAAATTTCAGCTCTGTCGCTGTCGTGGCTGTGTGTTTTAAAAATATTTCTAACAATAAAATCTCCCGCCGTGTCCGAGGTAAGGTCAGGGATATGTTCTTTATCACAAGAAACACATCCGATGCCGAGATTCATTGCCAGATGACTGAAAGCAGGTGTCAGCATTATGACACAACCTATCTGGCAAAGCTGGTCTTGGTGAAGAGGAAGGTAATCAGGTAATCAGGAAGGTGATGTCCCTAATGCAATGAGTGAGGATAGTGTGCGGAAATGGGCACTCGTAGTAAAAAGTGTATTTTTTCCATATAAAAGAATCTTCATTGGTCACAATTTACGAGAATCTGATTTTCCCTGTTTATGACCTTTGTTAATTGTTATACAGTATTAGTACAGTATAAACTTCTAAGATGTTACTAGCATAAACGTACTATAAAAAATCAATAATATAGACATAGACGATAACTATAGATTATATTTTGATTGTTGAAATTGTGAATTGCAATAGTAAAAGAGAAACTAGTTTTCTTGTTTTTTGGCATTGGAATTAAATCCGTTCCTGGGGTGACATCTAGAGTATAGCATGATTATTAGTACACACTTTCAGCTATAGCTGGCAAACAAACATGAAAAGCATCGCAACAAATTAAGTGATAAAAACATAAATGCAAACAATCACAAATGACCAGCTTGATTTGAAGTGTAGGGCAGAAGAATGGTATAATCCTGCAGAAGAAGAATCCATCTGTGTATGGCATGAGTGATTCTCTGTTGTTGTAAATGATGGTTTTTTTTGTAATTCTTAACCCAAATGGGAGTATGACATACTTCCACGTATGGTATTTTTTTCATAATTTTTCGAGTATGGTGGGAACCCTGGTGAGCATAACAGTAGCTGCCTAAAATAGCATATGCTATCATCTGGCCCCAGGGTTGTTAGCCTTGACCGAGTCATTGACCTGTTATCACCACCCTGGGTCTGGCATACCCCCACGCGCATGCTTGTGTTACCAGTACTGTGTTCATTGGGGTGTCTAGTGTCTTAAGTTTTACTATCATAAATAGTATTAACTTTGACTATATACAGAATAGACTTCCCATGTAATGTAAACATTTGAAGCCAAAAAACGTGGTGCAATCTGTTGAGATGATCACCAACTGATGACAATATTCTGTGTTAAGTGATAAATCAATCAGCTGTTTGCTATGATACTGCATTGGTTTTAATTAATATTCAACCCAACACACTAGTAAACTCTGGTGAGACGGTCCTGAACTTCATCTATTTTCTTGGCTTCAAATTTTTATATCACGTGGCAAATCTATTGCGTGTATAGTCAATGCTAATAGTCATTACAAAACCCTGTTAAAAATTAATCCCATTTAATAGGTCTACACAACTGCTGTTCAGTTATAAAAAAACATCTTATGCATCTTGACAGTGAGCATTTAATGAGTTCGATGACACTGTTTCAACCAGTTTCAACATTATATTTTTTAATTACAATCTGTTGTCATAAAAATTAGAAAACACGTCTCCAATCAATTTTCAAACCCACCTACAAAGATATAAGAGCGCGTCTAGATACGTTAGTTCTGCCTTTGCAGACTATAAAAAGCAGCTAGCCTGTCAGATTTAGTTTCGATCATCCACAAGCATCTGGCGAGAAGTGCGCGTACATCTCTCTTCCTCTAACTATCTCCGACACCACAAACACACACACTCTGTCTATCTCTCACACAAGCACTATTTCAGCAAACTACTAAATCTGGATTAGGTTTAACCACATACTCTTATTTGAGTAGCATTTCCTAAGTCGATGTGATGTTCGTCAAATCATAATTTCAAACTTTGTATTGACATTTATTTTAACGAATGTATAAAAGTAAAGAATGTTTCATTCATTCATCGTTTTATATCATGGTGTGTATAGTATGTAAAAAACGAATGTATAAATATTAGAGTAAAGTTCCTGCGATCAGGAAAGCTTGGTTTTAGTTAATAAGATTACTTAAATTGCGTTAATTTAATAGGTATATTTTATTTTTGAAACTAAACAATGTAGCTTATTACATTTTAACAGGTGTAACCAAGTAATAAAATCGAAGGAAAATAACCGTCAAAACCCCTTAAATGAATTTAAAAAATGTTTAATCGTAGAAGAAAATATTTAATAACATCGTAAATTAGCCAAAAAAATAATTCGTGGTATAGAAATAAATACCTAAATTCAAATGTGCATTTTAATTTACAATTTTTTGATTGGTTTAGTAGTTGATAAAGGTGGCTAACTGTTAGTTAGTTGATAGTTATAAACTACATTTTCTCTACACTCTATAGGTTATAGAATATGACAAGCACCTTGATTACTTCAATAACATAACAGTTAATATGGGTCTGTTTCCACTGAATTATCTAATTGATAGTGAAATCCGAGTAATGGATTCTGACCACTAGGTTCGGAAGCTTAGTTTATTTAACTGGTTCGAATAATCGCCATCCCTGATGATTAGACTAATTCCAATGTCTACACCTCTTGGTTTTTAGCGATCGGTAGCCTCTCACATTGAGTTTCCGCTAAACAAGATTAAAATCCCGAATAAACAAAAACTACCATTTAATACATTGCTAGTAAATTTAGAGAACTAAGCTGTGTATTAATTTCATTAGCAAACCTAAACATATTTTTAATTTTCCTAAGTTTATATCGGTTAACTAGCCTCCAATAAAAGTTGGTACTAAGTTATATGATAAAAATGCTGACACATCTATCTAATAAATGAGTTTACCTTCAAATCCTGGTACACTTACTCGGTTTTTCTTAGGTTGATTGTATATATTGACGAAGCCCATTGCATTAAATGGGCTTCGTTCGGTGAAGTGCACTAAGAATAGCGCAAGTGCACGTTAGATCTAAATCTAAGTTTGAGAATTATAATATAATATCAGCCAAACATCGTAAGAGTTATCACGAAACGACTCTGGGCTTTTTAATATTTTGGAGGAGAAAGCGGCAATAAAAATGTAAGCATCAATTGAACTATTTTTAATTGCTGCTTTCCCCCAATCGAGTAAAGACAAAATTTGGGAAGTCATCTATCAACTACTACAAAACACCAGCGAGAGTCTGCAATGCTAGAAACCTAGAGGCACCTAGCGGCAATTCGACGAACTATTGCGAACGTGTGACTCCTAGTGCACATTGCCGCGATTAGACGAACGGTTGCGAAATTCAATGCTAGTTTGGATCTTATATTACAATCGTTTGTAATGATGTGTTATTAGATTTAAGTATTCATTTCCTGTATTAATAATATAGATATGTATTTAAGACGGTTGTTAATGCATTGCAAATATCTACAACAATAAATTATGTTGATTTGATTTGAGCGACAAGAGACACCTTTAATGTTGTGTGAAAGGCAATGCAGTGAAAATAGTGATAGCCTAACTACAAGTTCTGTCTTCAAGGAATTTTCTGTTTAATTATTTAAATAATTAAATCCCCATTGTCAAGGAACTTCTACTGATTTGGCTCACACAGTCCTTTATAAATTATAATTTAATAGTTTAATTTGTGTAATTATAAAATGAAAGCCAATAATTTGTATACCTCAACAATATGCCAATCCCATTAATTTATTATAATTTCCAACAATAAACACTTAATTACAAAAAGCAAATAATCAGTCACTACCATTATCCACTACCCAATGGGTGATTGACACTTTTTAGCTAATTTCCTTACAGCCCCGGGACCGATTTACTTTTTCATTTTGATGTCTCCAGAGGTTAAAAACATTATTCGTTCAAATTGCATTATATGTTTCTTTATATTCTTCATATGTATATAGGTACAGTGTGTAAATTAAGTCTTCAAACAAATCTCTATTTTTTTAACTGAAATATATAGAAATATTCTGTTTGTGGCGTTGATTGTTTACAAAGATTCCGTAATTTTTTACACAAAAAATATTTTTTAACCCCCCTAACAGGGCAGTGGTGAGGAGGCGACTTATTTTTTTCAAAGAGATGGATATCTTACCCCTAGGAAAAATGGCAGGTATTCCAAAATTTGATTTACTGTATGTGAAAAAGCACCAATTTCACAAATATGGAAACAAATCTGTATTTTTTAAACCTAAATAGATATAAATATTCTGTTTGTGGAATTGATTGTTAACATAGGTTCCAACATTTTTTATATCAACAATATTTTTTAACCCCTTTAATAAACATAAAAGGGGTGACATGGTAGGGGGTGGCGGTGACTTACTTTTTTTAACAACCACTATTGAGTTGAGTGACCCCTCATTTTGAAGGATTTGTCAAAAGAAAAACAATGACGCAACCCCCAACCCCTGAGGTAGATATTTCACCCCTAGCCTAAATGGCAGGTATTCCAAAATTTGATTTATGTGAAAAGCACTCACTTTGGAATATCCGCCATTTTGGCTAGGGGGGAGATATTCACCTCGGATTTTTGTCATTGTGTTTCTTTTGACAAACCCTTCAAAATGAGGGGTCACTCAATAGGGGTAGCTTTTTGAAAAAAGATTCATCCCCTACCCTGTAAGGGAAGTTAAAAAGTATGTTTGATGTAAAAAAACTGCAGAAACCTTTGTTAACAATCAACCCCACAAACAGAATATTTCTATCTTTTCGGTTAAAAAAATACAGATTTGTTTCAGGGCTTAATTTACACACTTTATATATATATATATATATATATAGGGTTGGTTATAAATGTGTCCGTAAACGTGAGTAATTTTTGTTCGATTTTGATTAGATTTATTTATATGGGGGGGGAAATGGTTTTTCTCATTTTTGACCCTCAAAACACAAAATTTCCCAACTTATCTCTAGGCCTTTTTAAAGAGCTCAAAAAACAAATAATTTAGTATATCAAAGTGTTTTTGTACATTGGTAACGGAGAAAATTCAAAAAGTTGTAAATTTAGGAATGAAATGAAATGAATAAGTGCTTTATTTACAACATATTGTTATATACATTCACAGGTAAAAAATTAACCCTTTATGAAACAATAGTTAAATAACCATCTGTTAGTTTTTTTTGTAAAATATTAATAGCTTAGTATAGACTAAATAAATTTGCCAAGTTTGATCAAAATATATCCATAAACAAGCAAACTACAACATTTTACAATATTCTCCATTAGAATAACATGTGAATTCTAAATTTACAAGTTTGCTAGTTAATGGATATATTTTGATCAAACTTGGCAAATTTATTTAGTCTATACTAAGCTATTAATATTTTATAAAAAAATACACTTTATCAATTTCCTTGTAGCAGCAAACCAAGGTACTCGTTACCTACGTTATTTAAATAGATTTAATTGAAGATCAATTCAGACAAACGGAAATTTGCTTAGTCGGCAGGTTTGCTGCGGCAGGGTATTTACAAGTATTATGCTTTTGTAGAATTAAAAATAATATTTGCGTCTTCCCTCTCTTAAAACCATTATTAAATTTCATCATGAAAGAATTATGGGTTCAAACTATATTTTCAAAATAGTAAAAGGATATGGTAGGATCATAAAATGTACGTAACAATGTAAGAAAATGAATATAGATATTATGTCTAAAGTTTAAAGAGCTAAATATAAAAACGTTTTTATAAACCCATTTTTAATTGGGGGTCCACTATAGACACGCTCCAGCGTAAAATTATGAGTGCAGCTTAAGGGTTAACTAGTCTTTGAACTGTTCAGACTGTACTGTTAATGAGATAGATTGTTATACCTTTATTGTTTTTATTCCACACTTCTTTACTTCATGAATGGTAAATTAATTCTCCTGTTTACCAAAGAGAATTTAGAATTTTCAATATTACAAATGGTGGCATACATGTTTGAGTGATTCTCCCTTAGATTAGGTTCACTTTCAATTCCCAACTTTATTCCTATAGTTTTTACAAAAGATATTTTTATTTACTAGATTTACATACACTTATAAAATCATTAATCTGTGTCTAGTGTAAACATGCAAAATGTGACTACTTTCCTTTTCCCCATGCAGGTTGGCTACTTTGAATTTAGGAAATTCTGTAAATTCAAAGATATTAAAAACCAACTTTTTAAATGGTTTGTTTTACGGTTGAAATTATAAGAGGACCTTTTATTACTTAAGTACCGTAACATATTTTAACGTGTTTTCTACACTTTTCTAATGAATCCAACCAAGATAATTGTTATTGCTATACATAATTGAACGAGGTTCATAATTATGAGCGTAAGTATTTCCTAGTAAATGATAGTACAGTTGCAAATTAATTCTGAGTTCTCATAACCATCCAAACAACGTAAAACCCGAGTGCTGACTTCATAAATATTTTTGAGTGAATGAATTCCGAGTAGCACTTTGTTTCACACGTACAAGCATAGAAAACATACGTTTTCTGTGGTACAAGGCGGCATTTTTGGAAGTTTTAAACTGTCGACTTGGTGGTGGTTTTTTTCAAACTAATCTGACATCTACCCTTCTCTATAAATTAACAATTAAAATAAAAAAAATTGAAATTTCAAATTTCATATTGTGAAATTTGTTGTACATAGCGTACACAGTAATTCAAAGCTTTTTTAGGGCAATTTATTTATTAACTACGCAAAGAACTTATCCACTGGGTGTTCATTGAAAAATTGATTTGAAGATACTGTAAACTTAATGCATTATCGATCAGTGCAGTGTAGTGACAGTCAACTCAATAAGAATACAAGAATACTTTATTTGCAATCTTAAAGATTGAAAGGGCGTAATACAAGTTGTCCAGTTGTAACACACACACACAAGTCAAAATACAAGATGTCAATAAGAAAAATAATAATGTGTGAGAAACCATAATTTCTTGTTATTTGTATATGTTAGCTATAAAGAGGCTTTAATGGTAAAATACCCTTCTTTTTAAAAACTTGATGGGAAATCTGAGTAATATCATAGATAAAACATACTCCCTTAGTAGATTTCTCATCCTTATGGAACAGCTGAAGACAATTTTATTGTTAGTTCATGTACGGTTTATGTAGAGGTCGTGTTTTGTTTACAATTTGTTTCCCGTTATTACAGCCATTTAAAACCTCGTTTAACCAAATAATACGATCTAATCATAAACAATAACTTGTCCCCTAGTTATATAACCAAACAGTAAAGCACAAATCAAGAAATTAACCCTAAAATAATGGAAACCAAGTTTCATCGACACTAGCGCCTTTGTGTCACGTACATGAACTAGACACGAAAAACGTGCTTCAAAATTTACAATGGGATGAGAAGTCTACTTGTGTTGGTTAGTCTATGGTAATATAGTTGGGAAATTTTAGTTATACAGTAGGGGAAATTGTGTAATATAGTTGAGAAATTCAAAGTGTCACTATTATTTTTCTGCAACACACCTGATGAGACAGCACCTTAGATTGTAGGGGATGGATCCAATCCCGTCACCATCAGGTGTGATGTACTTGTAATTGTGTCTACTTGGTTCAACAAACGAGTTACTTATTGAGCTATTGAGAAAATGTTAGACACCCTTGAAATCTGGGAGGGGAATTTAGCCAAATAGAGAAATATTATTTACTGTCAAAATGTGATGTAAATGTTGTAATTTTAGGTAAACAAGGTAAATAAAATAACTAGGAAGAAATTTGTCATACAGCGAAACTGCATGGTTGAGTCATTCTAGCTTGCCAATGTGTCTAAAAAGAATACAAAAAAGAGCGTCGTCTGCTGTCAGCTGGTTAGATAGATTTGATTAGATTATAAAAAAATCATAACATCCATCCCATAACCTCACATTCTCATTAGATTCTACTCCACTCTACTGACTCTTCTTCTAGGCCTAGAGAATAATTGAATGATTACAGTTCAAATCAAATGTTAAGAAAGTCAAACCTACTCGCATTTGAGTTTTGAAGTTGATTGAATGACCTATACTTTTTCAATGTTATCTTCGTTCAGGAACTTCAAATTCAGTTGTTTTGTTGGTTGTAGCTAATGACTAATGACTAGATAATTGTTAACAACAACACTGAGCAGATAACATAACATAACCTAAAAAAGGACCAAATAATATATACTGTTCACAATGTTTTGGTTTCATAAAAACATAGGCATATTACTTGTTGCAGGCAAAGCTAAAAGATTGTTGTCAAAAAATAAAAACATACAAATTTCGCCTTTGAACACAGCATATCCAACCATTTGTAAACAAGTTGCAAGGACTTTATCCAGGTAAGGAAAAGAATATGATAATGATATACATTTTATTAGTGTGCATTTTTGGCAGGGGATTTTCCCTTATTGTTTTACTTCCCCTAACTTACTATGTTTTCAAAGTGTAGGTTTGCATAGTTACCACCTTTTTGATAACTGATAGGTAGATATTAGTATTATTTGAGACAAAGTTAGGTGCTAAGTATTTCAGGTAAGTAGCCTAAAGCAACCAACCTCACTCACACAAATCTATTGTTTACTAAACAATGCAATAGTGAAAATATGTATGATCTTTTGCTGCCGCCACCTTCTGGTGTTTCTCAACAAATCACATCCTACTTACCATTTGCTAATTAACAATGTAAGTAGTAATTATAATTCTGTTTTAAATTGAAGTAAGTTAGGTCTACCAACCTTTTCTCTGCTAGGTGAACAAGTAAGTTTTAAAAGGATTTGAATGAAAAGTTCTAGGATAGCCTACTCCATCCAGTATTTCCACACTTTACCAAAACAAAAACCTACTTACTGGGTTGGATATATCCAGCTTTTCTGCTGTGATGTGTTGAAAAATCCTGTGTTATCCTGCATGCATTTTGTAAACAATCCATTTCCTCCCTGTGTGATCTTTTTTGTTTATAAGCCTAGCTATATAGCACTATGCTAAATTGATCAAGGGGTTAGTTGGTTAGTTTCAATTTGTACTGTGGTTAATAAAGAAAATTATATCAGCAAACTGACTCATAAGATACATTCTTCCATTGGCTTGTCAAAAACTCTCATAAGTGTTTATTTATTTCAACGGACATTCTGTTTTGTTTGATGTGGTGCTATTTGTTTACAAACTTATCTATATCAATATAAAGTAATGCAATGTGCAGTTCAGGATGTCTAATATTAAATAACAACTATACATTTGACACTTAGACATAGGCAACAAAAACAAACAACAATAATAGGCCTATAGTAATTAACAACAACAATAACCAATGCTTAAACAATAACAATGACGATCGCCCTATATACTAACCATAAATAACTATAAATAATAATAAATATCAAGGAAAACAGGCATGTCCAACAAAATAAATATTATAGCTTAAATAAGTAACAGATTCTGACTAGAGCAATTATGAAAGACTTTGTTTATACAAGGAACATGCAGTGTAATAAAAATGATTTTAAAAAGAGACGAGGGAAAAAGCAATTTTGTAAGTAGGCTAAAGATTTTACCAACAAGGATATTGAAGAAACAAAAATAAAAAATGATAATAATAAGCAGAACACTCACGCACCATCAGCCTGCTCAGGCGTGGCCCTTAAAAGGCGCCACTTAACACAAACACACACTGCGCCCACAAATGCCAACCAGTTGTTAAGTAACTTAGCAGGAGTTACTATGATATTTCATGGGGAAAATTACAAAAATGTCAACAACCTTTTAACTAAACTTACCATATATTTATTTATTTATTACTTGGTACAGCACATACCAAGTGTATGTGCTGTACCAAGTAACCAATTGTCCTGTATTGTAATATTCTATAAATTTATAATAATTACTATTTTTTTTTAATTAGTTAATTAGTGAAATAGATTGAATTTTTGTTAACTTGTACTTGATGTGTTAAATATGTGTTTTTATATTAGATTAAGAAATGTCATTGTATTTTTATTTATTTATATTTAAGTTTGTCAGGTTAAGTGTAAGAGAGGGCCATGTGGCCCTAACTTTGCCTGGTAAAATAAAGAATTTTTCATTTCATTTCATTTCATTTCATTTCATTTCATTTCACATATACAATGAATTTATATAATACAAAACTGCATAAGCCTTAAAAGAGGCTTGTCCGCAGCGTTTCTTATAATACTATTGTCTTTTCCATCTTTATCTTGATCTTGAGTCAGTGTGAACTATTACTGTACAGAAACTTTAGAAAAATAAATTAAATTCAAAAATAAGAACAAGTGTAAATGCAAGGAATATCTTAAAATTATTTAACATGAGTATATACTTTCAGATTACAAACATTCAACAAACAAATAAATATCTAACAAGGAATAAATCAACTGTAATTGTTATAAGTGGTAATTCTGAGCCACCTATGGGTCAACTTAAATTTTTCTCATAACTTATTACAGTTGATTGGTTGGTTAGTAGTAACATGAAAATACAAGAATTTATTGCTGGAAAGCAAGTAGCTTATACAGAGCAAGCGACTACAGAAGATCAAAGGGTGCTCCGCATTATATTTCAATATCAGCCGGCTACAAAAATGTCCGAGTTGCGGAAATAATGCAGGTTTAACAATTTTGTTTAGAGTTCAAAATACCAAAACTTAGCCTACTAAATTTTTATCAAAATTGTTGAATCCATTTTTGTGAAAATCCAATTTCTGATATTTTATGGGTTTTATAAGAATAAGAATAAGAAAGTTTATTGCCGTTGACCAGGTTGTATATAGGGAAATGATCATTACCGGTAGTCTAATAATTGGTTCTGGCTCTACGTAAAATTTGCTACTTTGCAGACAAAATTGAATTATATTTTGACCCACTTAGACTACGTAGCCTACCTCCACTAGGTATCGAATCACAAACATACAAGTAAGATCAGTTAGTAGGTATGCATGACTATTCTAAGAGCAGCATTGAAACATTGTGTGTATTTCAGAAGATTAATGACTACAATTAAACTTACATAAACAAAATAAATGTTTAATAAATTATAGCCTAGATGAAACTTTTCAGTGTAAAAACGCCCGAGAAGTGTACTGAGGTGGAAATGCAAAGTGTATCTTATGAAGAATTCATCGATAATAACAAAAACAACAAACCTGTTATAATTCTGCATGGTTTGTTAGGTTCCAAAGAAAATTGGAACTCATTGGCTAAACAACTAAACCGAAGAATTGGTCGGAAGGTAAGCCTTTTGATGCTTAGTCTAAACTCTAGATTTGCACTCTTATACCGTTCACTATTGGGCATCTGGTCCTTTATTTCTGATCCTTTATAGAATCCTTTATAAAAAATCCTTTATGGAATTAAATGTGTGACTAGTAAGCCAATCATGAATCTTATTTTTAAATCATTTTAAATCCAATCATTTAAGTTGTTGGATTTAAAAATAACATTCATGATTGGCTCACTAGTCACATATTTTGTTCTATAACAGATTTTTTTAGAATGTGATATATAGTGCAAATTAAGTGTTGGGTCCTTTAGGCCAGGCGCACACAGGCGATTTTGAGTCGCGCAACAGTTGCCCGACTAATCGGGGGACTGTTGCGCAACCCACTCGGAGACTCTGAAGTCTAGCGACAGTTGAGCTGGAGTGCGCACACAGGCAACTTTTTAGTCGTGAATCTAGTCTTGAGACGTGTTGGACATACATTCGTTACAGCGTTCCGAATGGATTTCAATGATACAGCCGTAGTATGTGCTTTGTTGCTGAAGTTTCGCGTGCGAAAGAAAAAGAGAAGATACTGGGTTCATCCCATATAATCCCATATAAAGGCGGCCTCTTCTCAACTTCATCAATTAATTGTTCGACATCCTCATCACGCACACTCATACTTGTAATTTTATAAAAAACTTTCACACAATTTTCACACAACAAGAGACAGTTCTGGCCACGAGTAGTTGAACTCCTGGGGTGAGACTGAGTGACACAGCGACAATTTAGTTGCATGTGTGCGCATCTACACTTGTTTCAATGGATACCAAACCTGGAGCGACAGTCCCGCAACAATTCAGTCGCAGAGCAGTCGCTGGCAAATTGGGTCCGGGAACATCGGTGCAACAGTTGCGCGACTGTCCCTAGACTGTTTCCTTGGTGTGCGCACTCCAATTTAAAACCATGTTGAACATTTTAGTCGGGCAACTGTTGCGCGACTCAAAATCGCCTGTGTGCGCCTGGCCTTATTGACTATCTGTATTTATATATCTTGTTAATGTTTTACTGTTGTAATCATATTGTTTATTTGTTGTTAGTACTTTCAATTTAATGAATTTACTTTATTACCATTATTGTTATTATCTTGGTACTGTCTTTTAATGTATAACTGATTAAGCCTATTTTTTGTCCTAGGATGCTAGGCACGAGTTTAGGATTGTTTTTCACATTATTTCACATGATTAAGCCTATTGCAATCTTGTATAACTCAATGGTGAATATACTTCTGATTATTACTGCCGCTTGTCTTAGTTCACACTAAAGCGGACTAAGGAGCCTAATAGTGATTCGTAATTTTCTTTACAAATACAACTAGATTAATGCAATTTGTCGCTCTTTAAATTGTTTTTACCTGATACAAAATTTCACACAAGCTGGCCACCATTTAGAAACACATTTTATTTAATAAATATAGCTGGCAAGTGGCAGGCAGTAGTGAACATCCGGCCACGCACCAGTGAGCAATTGATTCACGATTGCCTGTCCACAACTAAAATGTGCTTTCAGCTGTTTTTGATTAATTCATTTATATAAGGCAGGTGTTCAAGGATATTGGAGCTGAAAGAATGAATGAAACTCGTTGATATGCTCAATTGAAGAATAAAATGTCACGATGAGTGACCAATATATCTGCACAATAGTTGTAGATTTTGTGAGCAGGAGGTGGATCCAGCCGATTATGTAAACAGACTGGTTGGTGTTTGTATAGTAACCAGCTGGTGCGACTACTTTTACACACTATGGAGAAGTTCTGTGACCACTTGCCTGTCCAAACACACAATTTTTTTTTTCAAATAAAATCTCCAATTACCACTTTTATTTTTGATTTAATATTGTTATACAATTTGAAAAGATGGGTTGCGGATATATCCGCCATTTTACTTGATATTCACAGACGGGTAGGAAAAATCTCAGCACAATTTTTCAAACAAAAGTTGTTATGCATTTATTAGAAATAGTTTACTATGTTTATGGAAATTACCAGATATTAAAATAAATTTTGTTCATTTTTACAAATATTTGGCCATATGGCCATATGACCATGGTCATCCAGAAAGTGTTAACTACTCCAAAGTTATTAAACCAGTACCTACTTCCGTTTTCCTGATCACATTCCAGTATTCTACGCTCCAAAGGACATGTGCTATTGCTTAATTAAAATGTCTACTTGACTACTGTATTTGTTAACTATATGTATTAATTTTACTTTATATAGTTTAGAAAATATTTAGAGGCATTACTTCGAATATCAAAGAGATTTTAAAATGATTATTTTTGGATTTTTTGGTTCAGGATTGACTAGTCTGATTTTCAGGCTATCTAATAGGTTATAATATTTGAATAGATAATATTAAACTGTTATAGGTGATTGCGGTTGATCTGCGTAACCATGGTTCTAGTCCCCACACCAGTTCATTCAGTTATGATTTGATGGTTGCTGATCTGAAATACTTCATGGATCTAAACCGTTTTCAAAAAGCCACCATTGTTGGACACAGTATGGGAGGAAGGACGGCGATGATGATGGCTATAAAATTTGTAAGTTGAAATATTATTTTACCTACGACCGTTTTTTAAAAGTAGCCGTTTCAGTTCAGTTCTTAGAATTGAAAAGTTTCACATAACAGCAACAGCATTGTTTACTTTCATAACAGCATAGTTTTACTCATAACAACATGGGTAACGGACCAATGAGGTTCACAGATTGAGAGAGAAGAAGTAAAATTGTAATGATTTGAACTTGAACTAATCAGCTGTTCAGGCCAATTTAATTGTTGAGTGGTGCAATTGGTGTTTGGTACAATGTTTCGTTGCATCACTGTAAAAACAGCCTTTAGCGTACATTTGAGGATGTGTGCTTGAGAATTATTTAAATGGTCAACTTCACAGTAAAAAAAAATTTTGTTTGACATTAGTTGAATTTTTAAAATATATTCTCAGTACAATAATCCGTTAGATAATATTTTTGGTGATTTTCACAAAATATCTGTACGAGAAATGACGTGTTTTAATTTTTTTCCTGTTGAATCTTCAATGGTATACTTGATTATTTGGTTAACTATTTCACATCTTTTAATAGGTTTAATTACATGAAAGTTTTTCATAGCCAGAACTAGTGCAAAGTCTGGTTGTGGTGGATATTTCACCGAAAACCAGCTCCAATATGATGAGAAATAAGCAACTGCTGACAGACATTGGGAATCTTAGTTTAGACCGACAACTTTCCTTCAGAGAAGCACGAAAGGAAGCTGCTGCACAACTTAGGCAGTTGAAATATGTAAGCTCTAACTCTACACATTAGACTTTTAAAATTTTTTGGGATAGCTTTTGATTCAGTTATAAACTATTCACAATAACATTATTAGTTTAATAAACTAATGCATGTTAGAGAAATTTTGACTGAACAAATCAGTGGCATACGTAAAATTAATTGCTCAAAATCAGCCGTTCCCAAATTGTTTTTGTCTTGGGACTCCACCTTCCTAACGTCTAAAACCTAAGCCTCAAACGGAAACATACTGTTTTATTTAGGTGGTTCAGAAATGCACTAAATAAGCAGTCTTATTAGTAATAAAGAAGTAAGTGTCTTGTTAATATACAGCAGTCAGACAGGCTGCAGTGTGTTGAGGTTAATGACTTACGATCTGACTGTGAGACTGTTTCTTGTGGTGTGCCTCAGGGGTCAATCCATGGTCCTCTGCTATTTATACTGTACATAAATTACTTGAGCTCACTTCTTACTCACAGTAAATACCATATGTTTGCTGAAAAGTTACAGATTTATACAACATTTTCAGCCAAACATATAATTGACAGTGTTCTGGAAATCACCAATGACATTGAGGAAATAATTACTTGGACTGACAAACATGGACTTAGAATTAATCATGAGAAAAATAAACCAGAGGCCTTTAAATAACCACAATTGTCATCTTTGGAACAGTACTAACCTTGACTAACCAGAACTAACCTTGGACACAAGTATCCATTCAAGATTACTTACTGACCTTACCTGACAGGTAGTGTCATTTACCTTGCTTGCGTCACAATTGAAATAAAATTATCAATACAGTGCTTTTTCTTAAACACGAAGAACAATGGTCAAAGACCGTCTGTTTTGTGGTTGACATACTGATTTTACAATATTTAAAAACACTTTAAAAGAGTCCATGAATCACATACAATAATTCATAAAATAAACTGATTTCCACTACAAAATATACACAAATAGCACTACTAAAATGTATACATATAAAATAATACATACTAAAAAAGATCAGATAACAAATGAATCAAAAATAAAATTGAAAAATACTGAGAATCTGAATTCATCCTACAAACAGTTAATAATTCATCAAACAAGCCTGTTACTGTACTTTTATTTTATGTTGTGCTTACTACGTGAGATGCAGTAGTAGACATATGAAAACAGGTGTTTGCATCAATCCACACAATGAAGAAGTTACAGAATTTTTACCTTAGCCTTTAACGTTACACCTAGTCAAATAACTTGTCTTCCCCCACTTCACTTCCTACAACTCTGTAATCTCATGACTGTAAACCTCCCTGATGCTCTCCAACACATACTGTACATAACTCCAACATAACTACTGCTTAAGATTTATTTATGATCTGAGAAGCAATAAACGTATCACACCTTTTTAGATTCTAAATTATTGAAGCAATGTAGCCTTAGATCAATAAAAATTCCTTTATCCTACTAATGTATTTAATATTTAAAAACCAACTTTCCAAATTATTTGGTAAATTACCTTAAGTTTGTTTTTAAACTTGCTTCTAACATTTATCCATTCTTTTAGTTCAAACGTGCAATCCACTGCAATGCAAGCATGAAAAAAGCCATTTTTTGCTATATAAATGGAATGGAAATTTCTACAACATATCGTAAAAAAAAATTATGAGGCAGAAAAATGGGAACAAATTAAGTTAGTAGCTTATTCATGAAACATCCCACCTTTGAATCTCCATATCAAGGTGGTATTAAGTAATTTTTTGGACTTAAGGCACTATAAATTTAAAATTTAAGGATTAATGCAGTTTGTAATCCTCAAATTCTGCCTACTATTACTTCTTGTCAGAAGTTTTAGTTGTTATTTGTAAAATGAAATAAACTGACGGTGTTAACAGACAGATGGTGTAATCAACTTCATTCTGCTAAACTTGGTCGAGCATGCAGGGGACTCTAAATGGCGTTGGAGGTTTAATCTAAAGTCAATCCTGGAGAACTACTTGAATATACAACACTTTCAAGCTGCCAACACTTCTTGTTCAACTCGCACAATCTTCTTAGGTGGCACCAACTCCGACTACCTAACGTGAGCGAATAATAAATTGACACCTAATTGTAGTATGCAAAAATATGAACTGTAGTTATTGATAACGTTTTTACTTTGACAATTGTACCTGAAAAAACTGTTATAATATTTATTGATTTGTCTGAATATCTCAAATATTTAAAATTTGACGAGATGAAAATCTATTTTTATCATAAAATAGTAAACGATTTTACAACAGTATTTTTTAATTTGGAAGTTTAAAAATTGTATTTTGCATTCTATATAAGCTCTTTAAACCTTTGTATTAATAAAGGCCATTTAATATACCTTCCCTTTTAAAACGCAGAAATACTCTTATTTTGTGGGGAAAATATCCATTTTAACATTTGAGCATGTATTATTATTTTATATAATAATGACCATCTCCACAACAATCTTTTTTTTTTTTAAGGGAGAGGAGGGAAAATGCTTTTACGCACACAGGTAGCCAGCCTGTAGTGTGAGACTCCTGAATCTATCACAGACTACTCACTAAAAAACCCCCTCTACTCTGTTGGACACAGACCTGGAATTGTTTGTCACATTACTTAAAGTCAGGCCAACATGTTACCTAAGCCCTCAGGGCTCTCACCGTTTTTGGCATTTGGATACTTCATGACCTACATCGCATCCCGGTCAAGGTTGAGCTTCTTGGCGCGGAGAATACCCTGGATGTAATGTGACACACAGGTCCAATTGTCCCCACCCTCCGACATCATCGGTATGACCGTGTCCACCGACAGCAGTCCTACTAACTGTTGAGCCTCCAGGCGGGGCCTTTCCCAACGCTGGCAGTGGAAAAAGGTATGTTCCACGTCATCGGGAATGCCTGGGCAGTATATGCAATCGGGTGACACGACTTTGCCCATCCTGAACAGGTACGACCGGAAAAAGCCGTGACCCGTCAGAAATTGGGTGAGGTAGAAGTCCACCTCCGAAGTCCACACCGCACCGCCGATTAACCCAAGGTTGGACTTGCTTTATCAGTTGCCTGGTCCCAGCTCTCCTGCCACAGCTGGTAGGTGCGGGTGCGTTCCTCTGTTCGTACCTGGATCTCCCCACGGCGCTGATAAATTGCTTTTCTCTCCGCCGCCAAAAGTTTGACGGGGATGACTCCAGCAACCACCAGGACGGCGGGTTCGGACACTGTTCGGTAGGCGAATGCAACTCTTAGTGCTGCCTGACGCTGCACTCGGGCGAGCCGCATCCTATATACCTCCTTATTTAGAGCGTCTGCCCACACCTCAGCACCGTACAAGAGTATGGACTGGACAGAAGACATTAACAGCCTACGGCTGGACCGAAGCCCTCCAACATTGGCCATCAACCGGCTAAGAGAGGAGACCACCCTAGCGGCCTTGTCCGCCGTACGGAAGATCTGTTCCCGCCAGCTAAGCTTGCTGTCCACCATAATCCCAAGGTACTTGGCAGAACGAACGGTCTGGACTTCGACGGCCCCTACCCTCAACGGCACGATGGTGTCAATCCGTTTTTTTGTTATTATCACGATCTCAGTTTTGCTCAAAGCAAGCGAGAGACCGTGGTCTGTCATCCATGCGTTTATAGTACGCATAACTCAGTTCAGCTTTAGCTGAGCCAGCTCAACGCTACGTGCAGCTATCAAAACTTCAACGTCGTCCGCGTACCCAACCAAAACAGTTTCCTCAGGCATTTCAGACCTCAGGAGGCTGTCATACGCGACATTCCAGAGGTCCGGGCCGAGTATGGAACCTTGGGCAGCACCAGAAGTGACACTCATCGTCCGTGGGCCCTCTGTAGTGTCATACATGAGGAGGCGGAACCGGAGATAATCCTCTATGATACGCGTGAGGTATGCCGGGACGTGGAAGGTGTTCTCTAGAGCATCCAGCATATCGCACCACCTCGCCGAATTAAATGCGTTTCGCACATCGAGAGTTACGAGCAGCACAACCCTTTGAGAGTAGTGGTTAAAATCCTCAGCTCTCATCACGGCTTGCTTCACCTCTTCAACAGCGTCAACAGTAGATTGCCCCATCCTGAATCCATACTGGCGAGGGGACAGGTCCCCCGCAGCGACCACGGCTGAATTCAGTCGGGAACGGATCAACTTCTCGAGCACTTTGCCAGCCGTATCCAACATACACAGAGGTCTGTAAGAGGATGGTAGGTCTGGGTCTCCCTTCCCCTTCCCAACAAGCACAAGCCTAGCTGTTTTCCAGCACGAGGGGAAAACTCCTTCGACTAGGCAGGCGTTGTACATGCGCAAATGGATCAAGGGGTTAGTAGTCAAAACCTTTTTGAGGACTTAGCCGGGTACCCCATCGGGTCCAGGAGCCTTATTGTTCTTCAGGGATAGGACGGCCGCCTCCATCTCTCCAAGACTGAAAAGTTGTACGTCATCCACCTTTCCGAAGTTCCGCGGTGGGTGCAACGTGTGAGCCAGGAAAAGGGACTTGACTATCCTCTCCATAGTGGCCCCATCCATGACGGAAGGTGGAGAGCGGGTGCCAAGTTTCTTGGTTACAAGTTTGTAACCCAAGCCCCATGGATTGGAATCGATATCGTCCCTTAATGTCTCCCAGCAACTGCGTTTACTACGGTTGATGGCTCGACGAAGAGACCTCCTAGCCACTCTGTAAGCATCCGACTTACGACGTCTGTCCACAGGTTCTCTGGCCCTGGTACCAAGTCTTCTGGCTCTCAATGCTGACCGACGCAATTCCGCAATCTCGGCAGTCCACCAGTACACAGGTCGCTTATTGCACCGGGATCTCCTGCGAGGCATAGACTCATCGCAAGCCGAGACGATTAGTCCCATCATGGATGTAACTAACACCTCTGCGTGAGCCACGCTAGTTGCGGGGGGAACCACCGGTGTTCCTCGTAAGATGGCTTCATTGAATTTTGCCACGTCCAATTTTTTAATATTCCATCGAACGGGCACTTGACGAAACGTGGCTACTTGTCTCTGATGACCATCCAGGACATCAAAAATAATGTACTGGTGGTCACTGCCTGTGTAATCCTCCAGGACTCTCCAGGCTCTGATCCTTGGCAAAAGGGACTCAGATGCCAGGATTATGTCTGGGATCGTTCCCCGCATCCCAGGGCGCCGGAAGGTTGGCATGTTTCCCTCGTTGACGACAACAAGTCCGGCTCTGGCAGCAAAGTCCAGAATGTACTTGCCCCAGGAATTGGTGAGGGTCATTCCCCACTCGACAGCCCTAGCATTAAAATCCCCACCCACAACGACGTGTCCTGTGGTATTGTGCACGCTCTCTCCCAGGCGGTCTATCTTCTCACGGAATTCACAGATGGCCTCGTTGGGAGTGAGGTAGACACTAAAGTAAGTGACATCCCAGCACCGAACCCAAACGAAACCTCGGCCCTTCGCGTGACCCCGTACTAGTACCACAACAATCCTTAAGACTAGGCTCTTTTGCGCTATCTTATTTCACTAGTCAAAGTCCATCGTCCACCCTCCAAAGAAAACATACAATTATTATTACATCCAAGATACATGAGAGTAAAGCTACTAAATAAGACTTCTGTAGAGTTGAATTACATAAATAAAACTCCAAAATTTAATCCTCCCTTATGTTTCAGACCAGACCACGAACCTGTTATCAGAGAAATTTTCTCAAATGTTGAGTTCAAATACATTCAGGGAGCTGGACATTGGATCCATGCAGACAAGCCTTTGGAGTTCCTAGATATTGTAGTGGATTTTATCAACAAGGATTCTACAAAATAGTAAGTGTGGTTCCTAACGATTGATTAAGAGATGTTACCTCCTCTACAGTGGCGTCCCCATCTCAATGGGTAGTGTTAATAATAGTGTTAATGATTGTGTGATACATCACTACAAATGAGAACCATTGTCTCAAGCTGAGCCAACGACTTTCAAGGTTATGATCAAACATGTGTGATGATACTTTAAAAATGTATTTATTTTCATAATATATTCACTTACGATTCATTTGTCTTTTGGGTGTGACAATGGCTGGAGTCAAAGCCAAATCAATCACCATTTACCATCTTGTGATAACCATTTACCATAACCTACCATGTTTGTGATTACAATGTTAAGCTGGATCTTCCTAGCTCTTCATTTTTTGCTTATCTTTTAGTTGTGAAAAGATACATTGAAGATGATGTTTTGTAATAAAAACGCCTAGGCTAGTCCATTCTTAAAGTAGAACAGTCACTAGGTAGAATAAGGTATTTTTACAATTTATGTAGATGTGATTGTTAATAAACATCACAAAATGAAGTATATTTTTAGGTTCATTAGTATATTTGGTGCTGTATACCATTAGTTTTGATAATTTGTTGAGCAGACTTTGTCTTCATGCATGGAAGCGTTGCAATGCACATTGTGTATCACAGGCTCCAACGTGCGTTCTTGAAACACAGGCAAAAATGTTGTACATCCGGAGCACAGTTTTTGGCAAACATGCTTCAAAGCGAGCATCTGCAAGATTCCTTGTGGAGTGTGCGGGTTTAGATTTTTGGAATTTGACCTTACACATCTCTTCAAAAATGCGCGTTTTTCTAGACCATACTTAATGAAATTCTTAGGTAATTAAACCTATTGTTGTCATATTTACATATATTTTGGTAAAGGGTTACAAAAGAACTCGTGAGTTAATTTGTCACATAAATTCGATGTGCGTTAATATCTATGGTACAAAAACTAAAGAAATACAATAGACTCTCAGTAATCCGGCAGATATAGGACCGTGATACTGCCGGATTACTAGAATGTTATCTATAACACTTAAAATGCACTTAAAACACGTTCATGATTTTGCCATGATCGTGCATGACAACGATAAAGTTTCCGTGACCACGGGAGTGAATAAGGATGTTTACACGGCCGTGGGAGATGATACAATTTTTGCCACGATCGTGCAAGACAACAATGACCTTTCCGTGACCGCGGGACCGTGGGAGTAGATTATAATGTCTACACGACCATTGGAGTTAATCATAATTTTGCCGCGATCGCGGAAGACCTTACCCGTAAAAAGACGCCAGATTACTGGAGTCCCGGATTAGAGAGGGTCTACTGTATAGCCTCTTAAAATTCCATAGCTATACTAAGATGTGCCAAAGGGTACATTTTGGTGACAGGGTTATTTATATTTGGTTGTATGGACTGTCATACAAGTTTCTTTTTTATTTGCCTTATTGTAGTACTGTATAGGAATTAACAATACTGAGTTGATCCAACAAATTTCACTGCCTGAGAATTAATTTTTAAGCAGATATAATTACTTTTGAAATAGCATTTCAAATCAATTCCTGTGTACGGTAATTATTTCAGTATCCAAGATAGTAAGATTAGTTTTAAGTAAGAAAATTTGATTTTAGATTTCTTCTTGCTGGGTTTGTGTTTGGTTAAATTGCCTTGATTATACTGGAAATTTTTATGTTTGCAAATATTCTCTTTTGTAGAAGAGAGAATATGAATCTGTCATTTAAAAAATATTAATTTGACATTTTCCTAATTTTTTGTAAATTAATAAACACTTAATAATAAGTCAGGATTTTATGGCCGCTTTTAATAATAATTTACAAGAAGTAATAAAATAATTTGCAGCTCCTTGTTTAACATTTATATTTTTGTATAACCAAATAATTTTAAAACTATTCACATAAGCTATTTCTGGAATGACGGATTCAAATTTAGCATAATGAAGTATTGTTCTTGTGGCTTGTTTACAATATACTTTTTTATATCTCAACTAGAATCAACACTAATTAATCTTGAGCTAACAGAGCTACAAGCAAATGTTCTATTTACATGTGTAGTTACAAATTAAAGTTATCTGATGTTTGCAACTGTTGTAAAACGAAAAATGACTTGTGATATGACTTTTTCTTTGAAATCAACATGTTTGTTACGTCTTATATTTGTGCAACATTTGATACTTTCAAGGTGAAGTTTATTTTTAAGAATAAATGAAATTTACTGTGTTATAAAGCTCATTTTAAAAGATTTAGTATAGAACAGTTTTCCAAAGTATTGCCTTCTCAGAATTAATTCCTAATTAATATATTCTTAGTAATTAAAAAAATCATATTTTTTCAGTGAGTTTGCATTATATTTTTTTACATTTTTTTTTTATGTGAAACATATTATTTTATTGATCTAATAAATAAAGTTGTACTTAATTTATTGAAAATCTTCCTAGTTACCTAAAAATCCTAGTTAGGTTAAAACATCAGGCCAATGAAATTTAAATTCCCCTCTGCTACCAGATACAACATTAACCTCTATTAATTTTACCAATACTTTTGGTATGATGGATAAAAATGTATTACTTTTGTATTAGTGAATCCAAGTGTCTGAAAATATTTTGATAACTTGTTACTACTATTCATTGATTATTGTTTTTATTATGTGTTATGTTTGCATTGGAAATTTTTGGAATAAATAAAGTAATCTAAAAGAATAAAAGTTCACGAACTTTCTTTCTTAGTATATATTCCTGTATTTATATTTATGGTTTAAGTTATAATACCATACACAACTTTATTATAAATTATTCTTGATTCTTAATCTTGAAATATTTTACCACATTTTAACAACAAGACCAATGTACATAACACTTGTAAAGTGTTTTGATGTCCATTGAGTGAATACTGAAATTTTTAGGCCCAAAATTAAGTGCACCCTAACAGCTTGACCTTACCTTGCCTGGCCTATACAACTAAATATCGTGATTTCTCCGCTACTTATTATTCCAATTTTTAACTTTTTGTTGTTTGATAGATAATGTTAAATGTTAAATACAAGTGTTCTAAAATCAGCCATGTTTTTGTTATTTAGCTATAACACTTAAAATGGCTACCATTTTGAAACAAAAAATATGTTCTAATATTTATATTTTGTAAAAAGCATACTTCATAAAAGTGCACACCAAATTTCATAAAGATAACTTAAACAATATTAAAGTTATAAATAAAAAATAAAATAAACAAAATGATGGATATCTCGCTAACCAGGTGTTTTAGAAAAAATGTTATTCTTCATTCTAGTTTTATTTATTTATTTATTTTATTTGTTGTAATTTGACCCATTTAACCTGTTCTATAAATATTTTGTATTAACATGTCCCTGAACTCTCTACCGACCTTTTTAAGGTTTTATTTAGTGGCGGCTGGTCCATAAGGACTCTGGGACGGAGTCCTCCCATTTTCAACACAAAAGCAAAAAAAATAATAACATATTTAAAAATAATCTGTAATCCTACATTCAATGTACACAAACGTCAGTAGGGTCAATGTTCTTAGGACAGGTAGTAATGGACGCTAGATGTTTTTGCAACAGGTAGTACGGAGGGACTCAGTAGGTATGAGTCCAAACTCCCATATAAACTGCATGGAAATATTCGACCAATCACAGCGCTGCATCAGGCTCTAATGCAACAGATATAGGGGGTTTGGGACTCCGTCCAAACAGTAGTTAAAACTATTGCCACAACAAGCGCAGGGTGCAGCTAGCGATCTCGATCTGTCACTCCAATTATTTAGAGATCAGTCAAATAGTGAATTCTGTAGTGTTTTGTGAAGTTATGTTTATTGTGCCGTGCCGCCGGTATTCAAGTTGTTAATTAATTAATATAGCACTGTTTCTTTAAAAGTGTAGTTCAGTGCAAATAATGAACTATGAATTCGGTGAAAAACATTTCTACAAAGTATGCGAATGGTGAGGTGGTAAGTTTTGAACGGAGAGTTGAGTTAAAACTGCTACTTCTAGGCCCGCCAAAACCCGATTTAGTTATAACACAATCTCAAAAATCACGAGAGAGCCAATTTCTCTTGTTTATACATGCCAATTGATTTAACTCCCCACCATTGAATACATATACGGACATTTGTAAATAAACCAGTTTGTATCCTAAAAAGTGTCCTAAACCAACTTTTAAATAACTTGTTTTTTTTAACTTCTAACTAAACTCCACGGTATCAGTAACCACCCAAAAAAAATTGTATGCGACCTCCAACTATTTTAACCCACCAGCCACCACTGGTTTTATTCATTCCCTGACCAAAGACAAATTAATATATCACAATGAATTTCTATTGGGTATCTATCATGGTTAAAGATCCAGCATCTGGGGACATCAAAACAAAAAATAAAATCCGTCCTGGGTCCATTCTTGTCATGAGAACTATGGTAATAGCTTATTCCCTTTTTGAGAAATTTGCTGAAACCAATCAAATTTCTTCTCTTTTAGATACTTCCGATCATTTAAGTAGTTTGCTTTGGTTTTAAATATGCCTGGAAAATCTTTCTGAGGGATGAACTTTTTAAATGACTTCTTAAAAACATTGAATTATTATTCAAAAAAACCTCCATTACCAAAAAAATATGAAATTCTAAGCTTGGAGTAGATTATAGAACGCTCTATTTCTGTTGAGACAAATGAAATATAAAGTTGGCAAAGCTGTGCAGAAATTGCCGCATTACAGTCTTTAGATGAGAAAACTAGCAACTTTAACTCCAATTAGAGGATTTAATTTGTTTTATTAAATGTTAGTACACAGACTTGTCATATCTGTGACGTGTATGCCAATTAAAGCCTATGTTTTTCATCTGAAAGTTTATTAGTTGTGCTTATAATTGACAACAAATACCAGAAGCGATCCTTCTATAGCTCCGAGGCGGTGGCTAAACAGATGGCTAAACGGGTTTATGTAAGAAAAATAATAATATTTATTATTTTTGGTTTTAATTTTCCTTCAGTACTAGAGCAGAGATTTTTTAATGGAAACAGTAAATTGACCCTCTTTATTCAATGTCTTGCATTTTAGGTAAAAATCAAAAAACTTACATGTTTGAAAACAAATTGCTTTAGCATAATTATGTATGTTTTTGAGTTATTAAAAAATGTGTTATGTAAATAACTATTAACTGTACAGCCAAAAATGTGCAGAATCCATCCCAGACCATGTGGATTTGGCTTTTCAAAAATATGAAGATAAAATTGACAACAGTAAAAGCAGTGTGCCTATAGTCATTTTACATGGTCTGCTTGGCTCAAAACAAAATTGGAACTCAATGGCAAGACAAATAAACGTGAATGTCGGTCGACAGGTAAGATTTTAATCAGACTTATTTACATATAATGTAATTGTATGTCAACATATGTAAAACTATTCGCATGATAATTTGGTCAGTGCCTCAACCAAACCCTAGGATTTATCGTTATAGTATATAAGTTTGTATTACCCATAATTCATTACCCATACCTGATTTTGGGATAAAAATAGGATGCATTGACTGTTTTTTAAGACACCTGTATTAAAATTAAATAAATAACGTCTTTATAAGCCAGCATACATCGGATCAAAGATCTGTTTTACATGAAAACTTTTGTCAACTATAACTAATAAAAGTAAATTAAAATACAAGTTCCTTAGGAAATAAAACGACCGAAAAATATATTTAACAATCTTTTTGAATGCTTTGTAACTTTTTTGTTTCACTCCTGCTGACAAAGCATTGTAAACAAGAGGTCCAAAGTAGGAAAAGGCTTTTTTCCCATCTCAGTTCTGACCTGTGCTAACTGCAGCTGGCCTTCCTGGCGAGTCAAATCAAATCAAATCATGTTTATTAGCACATAAATGTACAGAGGTTATAGATAAATGCACTGGTGCTTCGTCATTCTTCTTATAGCCTATTATTATAAAATGTCCTTTCTTAAAATGTATTTAGTAATAATAAATAAAATAGTTGTTTAACATTTGAGGAACTCTTTGAATAGACTAGCCAAAAGGTTCAATAAAAAAGATAATGTCAAGCTTAAAACTAAATAACAGGATTTATACAATTTAATTATAAATCAAACATAAAAAATTTACAAAACATGTAATTTTAGTCAATAACAAGGTCTTAATTAAAATTTCACAACATAAAACGATATATATAATATGTAACATTTAAAAATCAACAAGATTAACATGGAGAAGGAACTTTTTACCCTATAAAATATTATGAAAGTATCAGGACCTGCTTATAACATTTGAGAGTCATTTAGAAAATCGTCAACTTTATAATAGGCCTTTCTGATCAAAATACTCTTAACGTTATCTGCAAATTGTGTTGGACTCATTGCTGTGTTTTTAAAGTTGTTTGGAAGTTTATTGAACAATTTAATTCCCATGTAATGAATACTTCTTTCTAAAGATGCCGTAGAATGATGAGGGTATATAAGTAAATTCTGGTTTCTAGTATTGTAATTGTGGCTATTTTTTTCTATAGAGTACCAATTTAAATTATTTTTTACATGACACAGAACCTCAAAAATGTAGATACATGGTACTGTAAGTATTTTTAAACTTTTAAATACTTCTTTACATGAGCTTCCAGGCTGTTTGAGGGTCATGGCTCTTAGGAATTTCTTTTGTACTTTCAATACAATTTTTATTAAATTTGTTGCGCCCCATAATGTTATTCCATATTTCACTAATGGGTAAAAATAGCCATAGTACAAAATAAGTTTTGTTTCCATGCTGGTACAGTGTGCAAGGCAACTCATATTAAAACAAATGCTATTTAATCTCTTACATAATAGTATAATATGTTCATGCCACTTCAGATTTTCATCACATATTACCCCTAATAATTTCACAGACTTCTGATTCTTCAAATCATCATTGCCAACTGTAACCTTTATTTCACCCTCTCTATATTGCATACTTCTGAAGTGAATTATATTTGACTTGTCTGCATTCAGCAACAGTCCATTTATTCTAAACCAATTTTCTAATTCTTTTATTATTGTCTCTGCTGTAAATTTATTTTTTTCTGTGCTATTATTTCTAATTAATGCTGTAGTATCATCTGCAAACATTAGTATATCTGTCTTTATATTCATTGGAAGATCATTAACATATATTACAAACAAAGCTGGGCCTAAAATTGATCCTTGGGACTCCTGAATTTACAGTACAATATTTACAGTTCACCCTTATAAAAGGCATCCTCAGTCCAAGCCTACTGAAGACACCTCTTGCAAACATCTAGCAGCAATTGCTAACTGACAACGGGGTAAATGTCAAAAACCACTACTATGACTTTCCAACACTTAACAAGCTAAATATACTATAAAGATGGTAAAATGTGATTTATCTCTCCAATTTCAAACTAGAAGTAGACCCAATAGACTCTACTGTCACCAGACCCGGCCTTTGGCACGTGTGAAAAGTGTTACTGCACAGGGCCCCGTGAATTAGAGGGTCCCGTGGCTCGGGGGTCTCGCACTTGGGGCAAAATCCCAAACAATTTTTAAACGTCTTTGAATTTACATGAATAATCCGTTCTTTCTCATTTTACACATTGTGTCAAGTAAAAGATCACAATCGCAGAACACAATAAAGATGTTGCCCTATTAACGAGAGACACCACCATTGTAAGACATTATTATTATTGTAGCCGCAATCGTGAAGATGATGTCGGATGTTGCTGGTTGCTGCGATGTTAGAAAATTATCGCAGTTACTACAACTTACTGTTTTGGTATGCTACATTTTTAGTAGTAAGGGCTCTGAATGTTTACACTAGGCCCCGTGCCAACTAAGGCCGGCTCTGACTGTCATAGTCCAACTATGCTGCTAACAATCTTATGTCGTGAACAGTTAGATTGTATCTTTGTTAAAGGATACAAATTTTAACAGTTAGTTCATTCTATAAACTATTGTATTTGTACCTTAGGCAGTAACCTTCATTAAATGTCAAAATCATACTAAATGCTTTTTACTTTGTGGTACATTACAACTTTTACTTTCACACTCTGCTTTAGCCCTTCATCATGCAGACTGTAGTTAGAATGTTGAGTTATAGATTGTCTTGGGCATGTTAGTATAAGCTGAAGTATTAATATTTTTTTCTGGAAACCCTTTAAAAAATATATAGTCATAAAATTACTTAGCTTTATTTACAACTAGCTGTATCCGCGGGCTTCGCCCATTTGACTTCATAAGTATTAATAAAACTAATGATTACCGTACCGGGTTGGGTGGCATTTTGAGTGGCTTTCATGGTTACTTTGAAGAACAACATTGGACTTAATAAGCTGTCAGGACAGAGAGCTAGGAGAGTATTAAAATAAAAGATGATTATCTCCATTTAAGCCTGTGGTTATATTGGCTCTATTCATGGAAAAATCAGCTCAATTGGTCAAGTGGTTTTCATGTTATTGACATACTAAACATTCATATCTATAATATTAGTTCCTTCCATTCAAGTCATTGACTTGATCAGTAATGCACTAAAATTATTAACACACTCCATTTCTCAGACATTATTTTTGGAGAAAACAAACGCAATACTTTTTTATAAAAATTTGAAAAAATTAAGTCAATAAGTAGATGAATTATGCACTTAAAAAATTAAATTAACCTATTAACACAATACCACAACAATTTAGTATTTGACAGTTCTCATTGTGTATCACAACTTTTTGTTGCTGCTTTGTTCGAATTAGCTGTTGTATCACAAATTAAAACAAAAATTTAATAGTGCTGCACTCTGTTAGTAAACCTTGTAACTTTATAATGCTACTGAACATCATAGAACCAACTTGTTTATTTGAAACGGCCATTAACTTTTTCATTAGTTCATTTAAAATATGAAAAAGAATAAGGTTAACATGGGGAACTCCAGAGAATTAAAAAAAAACTACTTAGTTTTCCTATTTAATACCTAAAGAATAAGTGTACCAAATTTCAGTCTTCTAGGTAAATGGAAAAAAGGAAAATTAGTGATGAGTGAGTCGGTGAGGGTATTACATTTTATAGGAATAGATATTTAACAATAGTTTAATGTTATAAACCACTGTGCATCTACAGCAAGCAGAGGAGAATTCAAGATCGGAGAGGTGACAGATGGAGGCATGACTAACGCTCTTAATGTTGAGTAGGTAACCTACCTAATCCAGATATATCTTAATCTTACGCTAAAGTAAAATTGAGAGATAATTAATGTGATGTGCAAGCTGACTCTTGTCTCTATTGACTGAGTTGGAGGCAATACGGTTGGCTAACCTAATATTAGGAGATTATGCGAGTCATTGTTATAACATTGTATGATAAAGCAACCAAACTTAAACATTTCAACATACTGCATGGTAGGTGTTCTGGCAAAAAGTAAAATACCATTAACGCAAATGAAGGAAATAATCCTTCTAAACTATAAATCTGCCTGTATAAAGAAGTTTTCAGTTTATTTCGTTTTCAAATTTAAATTACCAGTTTTTATTCAGCTAAATAATGAACCATTCCATTTAAAGTGTCATATATTCTAAGAAGTTAATGATTACAACAACTAAAACCATCTACTTCACTTGGAATGCCTGGTGTACTATACTAGGGGTTGTTTTGGATGCTGCTTTTGGGTGATTTAAGTTTTTGTTTTGCATGAGAAAAACTATTTTTCAATCTAAATATGGAGGTAACTATTGCTATGAATCCCTGTACTGTCACACTCCCGAACCCTGATATACCCCTCATCTGGTTTAACTTGAAGCTAATATCAAGGGTGTTAAATATATATACAGTATATAGTATATGTGATCATTGGTGATCTTGTGATCCAGTAGGCCTAGTTAAATGTCTTCATTCATACAAATAAATTAGCTGTGACGTGCCTCCCCCCTCACCTAGATCACATGACCCCGACCCGTTTCCGTTCTTCCCTCCCTCTCTCAGCATCCACCCGTCTATTGCATAACATCGTTGTCACAGTTTAGCAAAATGTAATCCGTTTATTTATTTACAATCCGACTACTTCCCTAGTTTAGGTGGTGTCTCTGTTAAGGTACAATAGAGACACTACACTGGCGACGAGTACAAATAGATTTTATTGTGAAATGCGTGGTTTTACGGACAATATAAGTGTTCAATTGCTCCGCTAACCTAGGCCTAACACGTGGTAGATTTTACAAAGGGTAGATTAGTGTGATTGCAATAGTCAGCATTTTTAACCTGGAATAAACCCAGCACAGTGGTTGATGAGTTATCCAGGTGGTTACAAATAACTTTTCCCAGTATTACCCTGGCTTGTATTGATTTGTTGGTTAAGAGTCCTTGGAGCTTAGATATTCTAACTCGTTAAACAATTAAATAACTACAAAGAAAATTTTTAATCTCACAGTATACTAGATATTTAAATTAGAATCACTTTGGTGTTTGAAAAAATATTTTTGGACGGTAAATAACTCTTCAGCAGCTGTTTGAAACTATCCAAGATGGCCGCTAGCCTCCAAGGACTCTTAAGTAAAAACACACTCTTTGTTTTCCAATTAAATTTCACATATATAAATTTTCTCCAAATTAAAAATAATTAGTAAAATAATATCTTTCTAAATTTTTTCCACGTTCTGCATTAACATACTATTTTTGTCCATTTATCCTGCTGGAATAAAGATTAGTTTATTCATCTCAATTGAAATGATTCATTCTTACTCTATGAACATGTACTAAACAAGTTTCCACACCGATCTGTATGTAATTTTTGTTTTATTTGTCAGGTGTACTCATTGGATGCACGGAATCATGGAGACAGTCCACAATCGGAGGTGTTTTCTTACGACAGCATGGTGAATGATGTGGTAGAGTTTCTACAGAAACACAAGATAACCAAGGTCTCTCTCATTGGCCACAGTATGGGAGGAAGGACATCCATTAAATTGGCAATGAAGTATGTAAGTGGAAAAAGGTGCAGTAGAACTTCAACACGCTCTATAGTTTTTGAATCCTCTTGAATTCCCCAACCTTTCTATCTTGATAGATCAAATCGATATTAGGTGTACCTTGATCATGAGTTTGAACTGATGATTGCCTTGAAAGTCCTTAAACCTTTTTGTCAAGCATACCTCAACAAAAAAAAATAAATAAATGCTGTACCTGTTAGGTACTGTAAACTGGTTACAGCTTATAACTAATGTCCTATGCTTGACCTTGGGATCAGTGTTGTTGTGGTAGGCTCATAGAACTAAGAGCCTTATTACACGAGGTAGCCTGGTGACACCACCAGGGACAATAGCTGTCAAAGCACAAGCTACCAAACCTAGTAGCCAGTTCAGAACGTTTCCGGTTTTATAGCCAGTGACAACGGGGCTCGGTAGCCATCGGTGGCTACCCTCGTGTAATAACATCCATAAAAATCAATGCCCCTTGACAAGCTGAGTAGCCAGTTTCGTCGCTGGCTACGTCACCAGGCTATCTCGTGTAATAAGGCTCTAACATAACAACGAGTGGTCTAAAATCACTCTTGTTTGTGTGTATCGAGAGTGTGAAGCACATCTCGGTCATGTCTGGTGTGAAACTCATGAGAAGTTCACGTATTTATGGCAAAGGTTGCTTAGGTTCAACTGAAAAAAACTATGGACGGTATAGTAGGAAGTGTTGACAGAACAGGACAATAAATTCCACCTCAAACCAAACAGTCATGTTGCTTATTTTGGTGACATATAGGTTTATTTTTCATCTTTTGTTTATTTGTTTTTAAACATATTACTATGTTATTTGTCAAGAAAAAATGTTTTATTAGAAATTGATTTTTTTTGTTCATAAGATGAGGTGACAGCATGATAAATATTGATATATTTAAATTTAAATCAGTTAATGATCAGTGGAGCTCAAAGTTTCAAGATTTAGTTTATGAACACCATTTGGTTCTTTTTTTATGTTCATCTTTATAAATTGCATGATTTGATCGAAGCAAAATTTATATTTAAAATTATTATTCCTTTACGTTAACATTTAACATCAATCATTTGTATGAGATAAGTTTTTTCTTCTTTTGTTTTTTTTACTTTGACTGTTAAAATAAAAAATTCTCTTTGATTTATAAAATATTTGATTTGTTTTGTTGCACCAGCCGGAGCTCGTGCACAGCTTGGTTGTAGTGGATATCTCACCTGGAGGACCTAGTGCTAACTTGTTGGGCATCAGACAACTGTTGCATGACCTCCACAATCTCAACGTTGACCCACAACTCCCTGTGAGAGAAGCTCGGGCGCAGGCTGCCGCTCAACTCAGGGATAGTGTCAAGGTCATTTTCCCCAAAATTTGAAAAAAAATATTGTCCTTTAAAAACCTCACTATAGCTACGTAAAACTACCTTAGGAGTTAAAACTTTAAATATTAATATACTCTTGGTAAATTTTAATGTACACTAGGACTTGCTTTTAATGTTTTTGACTAAATTACCGTGTTGGTCGCGACAGGTTTAAGACGGCAATAAGATTGAACACACATTAAAAGGCAAGACCAAATTAGAAAATACTCCACCCGTGGTGCAAACCCTGGGTAGTATAGTTATAGTATCTGTATACTACAAAGCGATGTTAGGTAATCTTTACTAGGAAATTAAATCCTCAGAATTCCTTAAAATTCTTATCCAACCTTAGTCAGTTGAATTGGTTTGAATTATATGACCATAGCCTAGACTTAAATGCTAAATTCAAAGTGTTTTTTGACAAACTGTTGTGGGCCTTAAATGGTTCGATTCCCTTGAAAACTACTGTCGGTTTTAACAACAAACCTAACAAAAGGTGGTATCATCAAGGACTTGTAAATATGAAAAATGAGCTGGACCGGCTATATTTTTTGTTTTGTAATGCAGGGACTGCTGAAGTTAAAACTAAGTACAACTCATTAAAGTTGCAGTACCGCAAAGAAATCAAGAAAGCCAAACTTGACCATAACAACAGTTTACTGCTAAACTCTAGTAATATTTCTAAAACATCCTGGTCAATCATTAATGAAATAAGCAACTGTAATAGTAAGCCTTTGTCTATTCCTGACTGCCTAACTGCCGATGGACTGAACTCCTACTTTGTCGACTGTGTTGAAAACCTGAGAAGTAATGTTCCCGCCTCTTCAAATGGTCCTGAGCAATATCTTAGAAATTTGACCTCTTGCAACGCTCTTCCGACTATTGAGGACAACAATGCTTTTAGGATTGGACTATTTACTGTAGAAGAGGTGTATGCAGCCATCAACAGTCTTAACAATAGCTCTTGTTTAGATATTTACGGAATTAATGTCCCCATCTTGAAGTTAGCTTCTAGTTACATAAGTGAAGTTTTGACTTACCTATTTAATCTTTGTATAACACAAGGCTGCTACCCAAACAAGTTCAAGATTTCTAAGGTTATACCAGTCCATAAAAAAGGGCCTAAAAATGTCATTGCTAACTATAGGCCTATATCTATTATCCCTGCAGTGTCGAAGGTCTTGGAACATCTCGTACATCGTAGATTTTCTCAGTATCTTGAGGATAGTAACCTTTTAGCAAGTAGTCAGTTTGGCTTTAGGCCCAAACACAGCACTGTCCAAGCAACCCAGGCACTGATATCAAATTGCTTTCAAAGTTTAGAGGCCAAAAGTGGCATAGTGTTTAGATCGTACGACATGTCTAAGGCCTTTGACACAGTGGCTCATGATCTCCTTGTGGATAAGCTTTCTTGCTATAACCTTGATGCAGTTTTGGTTAAGTTCTTTCAATCTTATCTAAGTGACAGATGGCAAAAAGTCTATCTAAACGGCACTTATTCTAGCCCTGTTCGAGTGCCCCATGGAGTGCCCCAAGGCTCTATATTGGGCCCTACCCTGTTTATACTGTATATAAATGACTTACCTTGTAATATTAATGACTTATCTGTAAAAAGCTTTCTTTTTGCTGATGACTTGGCCTTGTGTGTACGGGGTAACTCTTTGAATGATGTTACAGACACATTGGACACAAAATCTGCTGTTATTAACGACTGGTGTAATGCAAACAAGTTATGTCTTAATGCTGATAAGACTCAGGACCTGACTATTAGTCTAAGCAGTAATGGTAATGATGTAAACACTCTGAAGTTTTTGGGTTTTCATTTGCAGTCAAACTTGAAGTGGTTTTCACATGTAGATTTTGTAGCATCTAAAATTGTAAAAGGCATATTTATGATAAGAGCACTTAGGTCCACTGTTTCAGATGATGTCCTTATTTGTATTTATTATGGCCACATTCATAGCTATTTGTCCTATGGTACCTCACTGTGGGCCAACAGTTTTTATGCTAACAGGCTGCTTTTTACTTTACAAAAGAAGGCGGTGAGGTTAATTTGTAGTGTGAATAGAAGAACACATTGTAAGCCCCTTTTCGTGAGTCTTAACATTCTCTCATTTCCATCCTTGTATGTTTTGGCAAGTTTGTTGTATGTAAAAGAAAACATTTCTCACTTTGAAAAGATATCTGATGTTCACAACTATTGTACTAGATCTAAAGATAATCTGTCTACACTAAGGCATAAGTATACAGCCACTCAAAATAGTTTTGAGTACCAAGGTGTTAAAATGTACAATTTCTTGCCTGCATCCATCAAAAACCTGTGTGTTTCAAAATTTAAACATGTTTTAAAAACTACTCTAACCCAGGCTTGCCTGTATAAACATGAAGAGTACTTTGGTTTAGAGTTTTAGTTTTAGTTGCCATCTTGATTGTTTTCTTTTTCTTTTGACGATTGTCATGAACTTTGTACTCAGTTTTAACGACAATAAAGCATTTCATTTCATTTCATTTCATTTCATTTCATTTCATTTCATTACAACTATAGCCTAGGGCCCAAGGCTCATGGTTTAAAAGTGAAAGGGGGATCCAGGGCCCTACCTTGGAAAAATGTGAGAAAATGTGCCCAAAATAATGATTTTTTAGGTAATTTGTAATGTATTGTCTGGCATTTAAATGTTTATAGGCCTACACATACAAATAAAAATATTTAAGACAGAAAACTTAAATATTGTTAACTGATATATCAGGTTATTTTAGGTCAAGATTACTCACAAAAGTGAAAATTACTTAGAATAAAAGAAAAAATCAATATTTAATACTTTAGACAGTCTTGTATCAAGTATGCATTTGTAGTGTAGTGGGGTGTGTAGTACAACCTACAGTTTTTTTAACTAAACTTTTTTTCCAGGATGAAAAACTTATTGCTTTCTTGCTAACCAACCTAGTTGAAAATGATGGAAATGCACAGAAGTGGCAGTGGAAATTCAACCTAGACGTCATTGTTAGACATTTCGATAGTGACATAGCTAACTTCCCTGTCAACAAAATGGACTTGAACACTCGCACACTCTTCATTGGAGGAGGGGAGTCTGACTACATCAAGTAAGACATCACAAAATCCTTGCATAGCTTAGTAGCTGAGTGGATTTAGTACTTCTAATCAGAAGGGTTCTTATATCTTAAAAATGGTCCTAAAAATCCGCTTTGGTTCTAAAAACCCTACAAAAGATACATTTTAAGGTTTTTCTCTTGTTATGAAAATTTAAAAATAAAATTATTATCTACCTTTGTTTGTTGAATATCAGCAATCATGAATAATACAAAAGCATAAAAAATTGTTATTTTATGTTTCAGGCCCACAGATGAGATAAATATAAAGAAAATATTCCCTTTGGCTGAATTTGTATACATCCAAGGAGCAGGCCACTGGGTTCACGCTGAGAAGCCTCAAGAGTTCCTCAAAACAGTGTCTGACTTTCTCAACAAGGACCTAAGATAGTTATTTTACCATTAATATTTTGTTTCACATTCACTTCTAAGTACACACCATAAATAAAGATTCCATATCAATTGCCCGGGATATAAAAACCAACTTCAAACATAGTTAAGGTTACATTTAAAATAAATATAATTGTGTTTTAACCTAAATTGATGGTATTTTTTACTTCCAAAGACTATAGGATGTTAGCTAAGACTTGTTTGGTTCTTACTGTAGAGCTATCTGGCTAATAATCGAACCTTAAGTCCTAGAACAATTAAAAATATCTTGGACATATGACCTGTCATTATTGTAAAATCTGAGGAAAACAAAAGTTGTAAAAACAGTTTACAAGATAGTCTTGGTAAATTAGACCTATGTAATCTTATATATTTTCATGTATGATATTTTTTTACCTTATAAACAGTTCAATTTGGTAATTTCTTTTTAAGAAGGGAGGAATTTTGTTAAGTAGCAATACTGTATATACAAGTTATTTTACATTGTACGTCTTTGTTTCCCTTAAGGATATCTTCTGCTTCTTATAGTACCATGAGTATGTTCTTTTCTTGTTCTCCTCCCTTCCTTTGGTAGCTGTTCCTGTGAAATGTGAATGCTTTCTTTACACAGTTCATATTTCCATATAGGCAGTGGTGTAGTCGTGAATTTTCCAGTGCGGGATTGCTCACCATTGTCACGGAAAAATACGGTCCTAATAGATAGGTTCTTAGGAAAAAAAGGAATGGGAACGGCCGCCCCACTACACCACTACATATAGGCCTATTTATATCAGAAAAAATCGGGTTTATATCCTGCCAAACTATGACTTCTAATTCAAGAACCCTGTCATGGCGACAAGAATAGGATGAGAATAAAAAAAAACAGACTCAAAGTACTATAAAAACAAGAGACATCCTGACTTCACATTCTATCCGTGGGTGTGTATGGGCAGCACATCCACTCTAGGGGGAAGAAGTTTGTTTCGTTTAGATTGGTTGATTAATTATTAATCGATTGATTGGTTTTTTAGTGATTTTAGTGATTTTTAAGGCATTTTTTGTGATTTTCCACCGATCAGAATGGTCAAAAAGCGTTGGAACTCAGTTTTTATGGATTAAAGACTGTTGATTCATGGAATATTGGGATTTAATAGCTTTATAATTTATTAATTAGGTTGAAGCTTTGTAATGTAACTTTAGATGATACAAATTGTATGTTAAAAATAATATTTATGTGGTTTATAGGGGAAATAACTCGTGGAAAACTTTAAATGCAAATATCTCGAAAACTAAAAGTGATACAGAGATGGGATTTTCACTGAATTGTAGCTAATTTTTACCCACATTTTACTAACCTAATTAAATGCATGCGTCTTTAAGGGTTATTTAGTAATCGACCGCCCGCGTTTAAGTTACTACGCGTTGCGTTCCGCAAACGGCAGGCGATAGTCAAGATAGTCTTAAAATGTGAGAAGTATTCCAAAGGCTATAAATCATTTTCTATTGTATTTGTGGTCAAACAAGCTATATAAGCCTAGATTTATTAGTAAAATATCTAAAAGTACAGATTTTAACTCTATATTTATGGTTAAATGACCAAAAAATACGTATAATTATCATTCAAACTACTCAGGTTTATGCTTTTTACAACATTAAAATGCTTTATTACTGATTTTGTTACTTACTAATTCTTGTTTTCACCATAACATTGTTAATACATATTCTTTATACAGTTCAATACTTTAAAACCATACATTTATACTTAAAACATGTATAGAAAAATCAATTTTCAATCGAATAAAACTATCCTTTAAAACACGTATACAATCTTCAACCGAATAAAACTCGGGGTTCAAGAGTCTGTATATGGTAAACTGTATGGTATTTGTACTTTACTAATAAACTATTAAGCCAAAAAGTGTTTATGATTTTAGCCATACATATTAAAGTATGTTAATAGATCTACAGCAGCGCGCGGTGACCTTGCGCAATTTCCTTTGTCAGCACATTCTATCGATGTTTGGGAAATACGGCCCGCGACTTGGCAGGCAGTTGATGTAACACTATGTACACTTCAAATAAATATCTTATAATTAGTTTAATACAGATTATAGCCTCTAATAGATTAACAGGAAGACTAACTAAAGACCTATCTTCATTTAACCGAATACTACGATTGTTATTTGATTTTAAAGGGTCTTTATTAGGATTCTAACTGTTTTAAGTCAATTTTGAACTAACCAAAGTATAATATAGTACCTTTGAGAATCATTTTAGCCTAAAACAGTAAATATTACATTAATATACACTTTAAAAGTCTACAATCTGTGACTTAAAATAGTCCAACTCGGAGCAAAATAGCCAACTTTAGACTGATAAGGCTTAAAAAGTAAACATTTTTAAAGGCTGAAATATATCTATTACTGTTGAATATATAGCAATAAACATAATTATGTAGTTTATTTCATCTTAAGCCTTTCAATAGCTTTATATTTCAGAAAATAAAATGGCGTTTTCGCCACGAGTTTAACAGACGATAAATGTCATAATATTGCAAAATATAGTGTTTTTTGTGATTTTTTAAGGGATTTTAACATCAAATTAGTTAAACTATACTAGTAAATGATTTGAAAACCACATTTGGAGAGCTTATAACTGTATAGTTTAGCCAGAAAATGGAAAAGATCTATTATGACAAAGACAGTTCAAAAAACAGTACAGGCTTATTCCTTTATTTATTTCTCTATAAAAGTAAATTATGACTTTATTTTTGTATATTTCACTGCTTAAGCATCTATTACATGGTATGTAGTTAAGTCTAAGTAATTTAAATGAACAGTTTATCGTAAATTCAAGTATTACCAGTGGTTGCAAATCGGCAAGTAAAACGATTCAAAACGTAAGACTCATAGCCTAATCTTGACTTTCTAGTCATTTTAACCAATTTCATAATCACTTAATGATGAATTAGACTGTAGAATATAATAAAATTACCCATTAAAGGCTTAATACCAGGGAAATAAGCTCATATTACAACTGAAAGTGGAATTACAGCCATTATATCAAGCAAATAAGCCTATAAATCCATAAAAAATCGCTAAAAAATCGCTAAAAAATCACTAAAATCACTAAAAACCAATCAATCGATTAATAATTAATCAACCAATCTAAATTAACAAATGAAACAAACTTCTTCTCCCTAGAGTGGATGTGCTGCCCATACACACCCACGGATGAGAATGTGATTAGTTTTAGTACCTATTTATGCCAATATTTTCATCTCTCCGAAAGAGAGGTAGGCTACCGGAACTCCGTTAAGCCGCAAATCGAGTATATAACTATAACTAAACAGTGTATGGAGAACAGGTAACTTATCGCAGTTCATAATCGGTGAGTTTAAACTATCAAAAGGATTACTGCGGACATATGTTCCATCTCGATCAGTAAAAAAACACATTTTTTACAGAGTTTCGAGATCTGAAATCTGATCCCGCCCTCAGATGACAACGTATCAAAACATTACAAGAATATGTAATATAATTCTAAATATTAAAGTACAAAAAGGACAATATACAGGGTGTTTTTAAAAAAACTAGTTGTTGCTCTGCCCGTGCTTCGCTACGGGGTGAGAATGCAGAAAATAAAAATTCGGTTTTACTTTGAGATAGGCCTACTATAATATACTATGAGAAACAGTTACAACACACTTACCAGGAAACATATATGCAAAAGCTCAATTCTGCTTATTGATTATTTAAATTAAGATCTCTTAATGTATTACAGTACTATCATTTTATATGGTGTATAGCATTTAAAATATATGCAAAAGTATAATTCATTGACCACATGGCACCAAGAAACAATTCTCCTAGTAAACAAATTAAATTAAATAGCAGAACAGCATTTCTGACAAACAGCTGTAGTATAATAACAATGTTTGTTTCCCATGTTAATCTTATGGAGAAATACGAAACTTTAAAGGGCCCCAAGGCCTCACTCTCTAATTATTTTCCTATAAAAAGAAAGTTTCCTGCACAACTTCACGTTACGCTCTTTCCAATGACACCAAAAACATGTCAATCGGTTCAGTAGTTTCGGAGGAGTAATTGTCACAAATTAATAATTGCGTATTAAATAAGTATAGTTGCCGGGATTTTAAATGATAATTGCTTGGGTACTATTCAAGGTAACTATACGTTTTATACGTCTAAAAATTTGATTGCCCGTCGAAGTCTTCAGCTGAACAAACCTAAATTGGTCACTTTATGATGTTATCTGTTAGTGCCTAAAAAGGTTCAGTTAAGACATCAGATAAACCTGCCGATCGCCTTAAGCGTACAGACATTGCCAGTTTTATGCTCATATAAGATTGACGAAAACCTGAATTTTATTAAATCATTCTGAATTGTATGAAAGAATGAGGAAAAAACGTTGTTCTTTTCCCTTCAATTTGACTTTAAATCGTTTAATTATCTTGAGTAGTCCCCGAGTGATTAAAATCCCGGCATTCTTTTAAAAACACCCTGTATATATATATATTAATGAAAACAATTATTATATATTGGACTTATTGTACTTTAAAAATTTGATTGCATTAAATTAACTTGCCAATATCTCCAAAATAAATATTTACAAGAATAGTACACAAACTCAGCTGAAGCTGGGTGGAAGACAACATTATAGTAGAAACTTTAATGTTGATACTATAACACCCACAAAATTTAGGAGGTTTGAGAGGAAATTCCCCCTACAATTTTTTTGCTTAGTGATACATATGTTGCAGCTTGACAGTTCTGTTGTTTTAAAGGTAGGATCAAGTGGAAGGGTTAGCCATCCACTCTTTGTGTGAAAATATATAATGTAGTTGGATATGTTTTGGTATAGAAGAATACAATTTAACTTTAAAGTACACTATGCACATAGGGGTAACGGATTTTTATCCCCTTGGAATTATACCCCCTTGGCAAAACTGACATCACTAACCAGGGGGTAAAATTCCGCCGCGAACTTTTGAGTTGCACAACATCAGTCCGATGGATTAAAGGTGGAATTAAACGTATATTTTCACAGTTGTGAATTTAATTAATCAGAACACATCAAATTATAAAACCCTAGAGTGTACAGGCCGGAGTACAGCCTCGGGTACAGCCTCGGGAACTGTCATGGCTGGTGGGCAGAACGAAGATATCTGTCCAGTCTGTAAAAATGCTGTTTTAGATGAT